GTCTTCTGCCTGGGCTTCCGGGTTCCCCCACGACGCATGGAGATCGTTGATGAAGCCATACATTGCCGCCTACAAGGCTGGCGCAGCTACGCCTACCGTTGAATCCGACCAGCTCATTTACTGGTTCCGGCCACACCCAAAGGACGCCGTGTGCAGCGCCGACACATTGGGCGCACCACGTGGGAAAGAGCTTCTCGCCGACGTGGTGTTCGTCACAACAATGCTGACGGAAGCAGGCGAACTTACGGTCACGAGTGGAGGCAACTCCCCAGTTACGGTTAATGCCGAGGCTGGCATTCATACGTTCAACTTTACAATGGGAATTGGCGCTCAAGATTTTAGGTTGAAACGTGGAGGGGCTGATCTACTTGGAGGTACAAGTGAGAAGAAGATCGCCGATGCGTGTGAACAGTTCAACTACAACCCATATGTTGGATCTTTTTGAATATGGCTTCTTTCCTGCCGGTGTATATTACGTCATAAATTCTTTTACAAAAGATTGAATATATTCCCAGAGGGACATTCTCCACGAGCTTTGTCGCTTTGTCAGAACGTTATTTTCTGTGGCATCGCTGCCTTGTCTACCATCATCTGATATTGAAAGGATTTATTAAGTTTAGATTTGTATGCACAAGATGACCGTTGAGAAAGAGGCTTCGTGGAAGCATAAAGGCGGTAAGAACAATTTCTTGGCCCCGCATATACTCACAAATTATCCGCCACCCCTTCAAATACTGGCATCTTTGATATTCGTTGGCCCCTTAAGAGTATTGCGTTAAGAGTATTGCGTCGTGAGTTACATTCCAACAACATCATTTGCCTTAGGATGTTGGTCTTCGGATCGTTCGGGTTGACAAACTTTCCGTCCCTTTGGACCTTGCATCCGAGTTCCGGGAGTTCGGCCCAGTTCTTTGCTACGGAACTAACGGCACAGCCTAGAATTGTGCTTTGCAACCTTCACAGCTCAGTCCTCTGTCCTACGATTGGATGGAACGAGGCTTAGCTGGTTTGTAGGTTTAGAACCGGACAATTCATTCTGTGGTCATTGGATAGAGGAGTGAGCATTACGCGTAGACATTCCTCAATTACATACGGTTTCAATAGCTGCTTAACTACTTCTGGAGAATCATCTGTTTTAAGTCTGTGGCGTTACAGTCGAAGATCACTAAAACTGGTTTCACGATTTATACAAGCTACACTGTAAGTTAAGTTCAGAGTACATATATGTGCGGCGGATCCTGCAATGCAAAAAGTGCAACATTCCATCGAACCTTGAAGAATAACTGCCCATTGAAAAAAGAAAACGCGACCAGCCATTTAGTGGCATTCCGTCAGAATGGACTACCCCAAAGAAAATGTGATTGAACATCCGCCCAGCTATCCCGACCTTTACAATATCGACAACGACCCGGAAGCGTGGGGAGGTGTAATCCCTCCAACTCAGACTTGGGGCAATGCAGACAAAGCCGCTGCAAAACCGACCTTCAAACAGCGTGTGCGCCGCCTCTTCACAAAACCTCGAGCATGGTCTCGCAAGAAGCAGTGGATTGTTGGGATTTGCCTCTTACTTCTCCTCATCGTCATCATTGCCGTCCCCGCGGGTGTGGCAGCTGGCACCAGGTCGCGCACTTGCGAATGTCCCGGCTGGACCGCAGGTGACGGCACTATCTTCGGACCGACATATTATCATTGTGATTCGGATGGAAATGACTTGACAACTGGCAAGAGTAGTGAGGATGTCTGTGAGATTTGATACCAAGTACAATTTGGGTGAGGCATGGCCGCGATGGCCGAAGTATGTGAAGCGAGGGCATTTGCAACGTCCATACGGTTTATCTCTATGTTTCTATGTCTTGATTCAACATATCTTTGAATTCAATACCAGACAAATTATACCTAAGTGAATGAATAAAGACTGCCATGGCAAGCATGTTACTGGATGTTCGAGAATAAGTTGCAAACGCTTCATATTTTTTTAATCACCGACAGTATTGTTATTCTGGGATTTGATTGATCAACAATCATGAACTCAGTAAAGGTTTAGTGGGTTAAACTTATCAAATTCAATGCATATATGAGAATCTTTAGCATGCGCCAAGTCAATGAGCTACTTCGTCGAATAGTCCACCTCCCTTGTTGTATTCCTCGATTTTCCTTGCTGATTCCATGGGAATATTTAGGCTTTCTTTGTCGCCTCGACATGAGCATGCTCACCGTCTTGTTCTTCCATGGCCTTCATCTTTTCTTCAACATTAATGGATCCGATCTGCTCAGTCGCAAGAGTGTCACCAAACAGCTCAGCGATCTCCTCGAGGGACTTTCCGGACTGCAATGATACAATGGTTAGCTATTCACTGATCCAAGTGAATCCTCGCTATGAATATTTAAACTCACTGTCTCTGGGAGAAAGAAGAAGTAAATAAGACCTGCCGTCAAGTTCGTAGCGATATACAAGCTGTAATATCTACTCCGCTGTTAGCTATTTTGCCGGAAAAGTATTAATCAATTAACTGACCGCCAGCTGACATTCTTAATGGCGATGGGGGTGATCTGAGACAGCGCAATAGCGATCACCGACTTGGTAAAAACGGCAAAGGCAAGACCCTTAGATCGCAAGAAGAAGGGGAAGAGCTCCGAGGGCACGACCCAAACCATGGCATTGAAAAAGACAGCGTAGAGCGCCGAGTACAAGAAGATCATGGCAATAGCACCACGGGCACCATTCTCATTTTGTGAATCTTTTGAGCCATATTGCGCACTCAAGGCCATGCAGACAGCAATCATGACACTCAAGAGCACAGAGCCAATCCAGAGTGTTCTGACACGAGGCCAGCGGTCTGCTACGACCGTCAGGTAGATAATCTGACCAATGATTCCCATCATGCCATAGATACCGCTGATAAGGAGAGAAGTTTTACCGGTAAAGCCGACCGTCTCGTAGAAGATGCTTTGGAAGTTCTGAATAACCTGCGAGCCGCTGAGCTGACCCATGGCTACTATGAATGTCGCGGTGGCGGTTCGGCGGAGGTACTGTTTGGAAAACATTTTCTTCAGGGCGAAGGACCAGGAAGCGCTTCCTTGGCTGCGCTCAAAGCCAAGCTGCTCTCGGATTTGGATGAGTTCCTGGCTGGCGAGACTTTCGTTTTCGATACCGTGGAGCTTATGCAGGACTGTGGTAGATTGGGCATTAGCGTTCTGTCACGAGGATTGTTGGCAGTGTCGCATACCCTTTTCGGCTTCTTCGATACGATCTTGTTGCACCACTGCATCAATGGTTAGAACTAGGTAGAAGATGAAGATATGTGGAAGAGTGAATGTAAACCTACGCCACCGGGGAGAAAATGGAATATAAATGCAGCCGATCATCATGAGGATAGGAATGGGGATCTGCATTGCCAGCGGAATGCGCCACTGAGCGTGTGAAGAAGCATAAGACCCTCCATAGCCGACCCAGTTTGCAAGACCGAACCCAATGGCAATCATCATCCCGTGAAGGCCGACAAGAAATCCTCGACTGTCGGGCTGCGAGGCTTCGGCAAGGTAAACGGGTACAACTGAGAGGAGACTGCCACATCCGATGCCAGCCAACAAGCGACCTACAATCATCATGGCGACATGGACAGAAGCGGTTTGAAGGACTGCTCCAACAATTGCTATCACGGCAGCGGGTAAGTTGACTGATTTCGTCTAGTAGACAGCTAGACTTACAAAGAAAAGCCATCGCAGACATGGCGTATTTCCTACTGAATTTGTCCGCAAGGAAACCACTGGTCAGCCCACCGATAGCCTGGCCTGCATTGTAGACCGACACAATAGCGCCTTACGAGTAAAAATAACAGAAACAAGGTCAGCCATCAGGTAGGGAAAAAGAGTTGGAAATGAGTGTACATACCCGAGAGTGACGTGTTGACAAGAGTCGGTCCGTAGAAGTAACTTTTGAAACTGGATTGGCCAAGGGTTGTCGCGATGATTCCAGAGTCGAAGCCATAAACGAACCCTCCCATGGCTACCACCAGCGCAATGCCAATCACAATTAATCGTACCATCTTGTCGGATAGTTCAACGGAGGCTCAAACTATTCGTGGAACTTTCCATCAACCAGTGCAATAAAGTTGATCTTGGTTGCTAGGCTCGTGGAGAAAGAAGAGATGCACAGAGGGGCCCCGCTCCATATATCTGGGGAAGCATTGTGAAGAGAAAGCGGAACCTGAAGTGTCATGGAAACCAGCTGGCTGGGAAGAGGAAGGACACCGGGACAAAGACAACCGACGGATCGACGTATGTCCAACCATGATCCTGGTCGTCGTTGTAAAATTGAGCCGGGAGACAAAGCTAAACTCAATCCTTAACATTCTTTGGTCCTATATTAACTCTCATTTGGCCCCTCTTTCAACTTCTCAGAGCCACTACCGTTGTTTGCTTTCTGAACATGGGGTGATAGCAGTGGAGATGCTGGCTGGGGACCCGGTCTCCTAATCCCATTTCTCCTATTTTTGTCCGGGGAAGTCTCTAAATCCGAACTTAATCCAGCTAATCATCTCGGTAGCAGCTACTGAGGCAGTCCGTACGAGAATTACCAATCAAAGCCACGCTGATCATGTATCTCCACCTTATTCCCCCTCACGAGTAGCAAGAAAACGGACGATGGAAGCGGGGGTCGCAAGCTCATTCGTCTGTTTGGCTTAGGTTGCGGAGTGAATATCATCAGCGTTACGAGATATTCCCGAAGAAACTGCGGTCTTCGAGTTCACCTATCCCCCGGACAGCTCCAGTGACTCTCGGCTTGTACTGCGCCGAAACCGAGGCTTTTATAACTTATGGTGGGTTCTTGCGGGGGCCACTTCCTTCAGCTCAAGCTGGGTTGAAAAGAGCGCCGCCTGACTCTATCCATGGTCGGTTATTGCCTGGGTATCACTACAGATTCCATTAGGGCTGGTGAGGTTTCTTTCTCTATCTTCGGCCGTTCAGCTCCAATATTATATGACCATACTGCCTAGACCATGGATTCTGCGCCTCCAAGTCTTACTAAACCAACATTCGAGCATCTACGAGGAGACCAGCTCTTCTCCGGAAGCCCCGAACCCAGAATTTCATGGAAGTTTGCGTATGAACAAGACACCGCTCCCGGGTGGGAACAAAATGCATACGAAATAGAGATACGCTCACCCGCCGGAAATAAGCCAGAGGTGTTCCGTGTCGAGAGTAGCGCCTCTGTCCTTGTACCATGGCCCAGGGGGGCACTCAAGTCCCGAGAATCGGCGTTGATCCGTGTCCGCTCTCGGGGCACCTCGAACAAGTCTAGGAACGACTCTCTATGGACAGAATGGTCCGAGACTGCATCTATCGAAACAGTTTTGCTCGACAAGCATGCCTGGACCGCCCAGTGGATTGCTTCCTCATCCAAGCCTCAGCCGAATGCGAACGGATCGCTCCAGCCCCTGCGATTCTACAAACCGTTCGAGCTACCATCGGGCCCCGTTTCCAAAGCTCGGCTCTACATCTCAGCGTTAGGTGTTTTCGATGTTTATATCAACGGACAACAAGCCGGCGACGAGTTTCTGGCTCCTGGCTGGACCTGTTATCAACATCGCATTCCCTACCGAGCTCTGGACATTACATCTCTGCTGGAGGCTGGCAAGCAGAATACGGTCTGCGTCGAAGTCGCAGAAGGCTGGTATTACGGAAGACTCGGCTTCAATGGCGGGACACGATTCATCTACGGTGGCGATGAGTTAGCTGTTATAGGGCAAATAGAGGCCCATACCGCGTCAGAAGGCTCAGAGGGGTCGCCATGGACGTTGACGACTGACGATTCATGGAAGTGCATACCCAGCGCTATCCAACAAAGCGAGATATATGACGGGGAAACTTACGATGCCAGGAACGAGAAGGATAACTGGAAACTGTTAGGCCTTGATGACACTGCCGGTCTCAATCCAACCAAAGCCATACCGCCCCCGAAGGGCGGTCTCTTCTTTGCCAAGGCGCCACCAGTAAAAGTGACCGAAACTGTCACTCCGATCGACGTATTCCGCAGCAAGAGCGGCAAAGCTATCATCGATTTTGGGCAAAACCTGGTTGGAAAGCTCCTAGTCAAGAGCATCTTCCTACCTGATGGAGAGCGCGTCACATTCAAGCACGCCGAGGTCATGGAGCACGGAGAGCTAGGCACGCGTCCTCTACGAATCGCCAAAGCCACAGACACTGTCATCTCCGCCGGAAAGGAGATCCAGAACTGGACTCCCCGATTCACGTTCCATGGTTTCAGATATGTCCAGGTCGACAACTGGCCAGGAGAGCTCCCTTCGAAGGATGACCTCGTCGCGCAGGTCTTACACACGGATCTCCAGAGGCGTGGATATTTCAACTGCTCCAACAAGTCAATCAATCAACTTCACAAGAACGTCGTCTGGTCTATGAGAAGCAATTTTGTTTCGATTCCTACCGACTGCCCTCAGCGAGATGAGCGCCTAGGTTGGACAGGTTCGTTTCTCCCCCCAGCTCGTAATTTCCAATGATATCTTTTATACATAGACTAACTCTACATTTTACAACTAGGCGATTTGCAAGTTTTCTGTCCTTCAGCTAGCTTCCTATACGATGTGACCGGCATGTTGAGTGACTGGCTTCAGGATGTCGTCTCGGAGCAACTAGAGGAGGGTAGAGGCGGTATCCCGCCGCTTGTGTGTCCCGACATACTTCCCAAGAACTGGCCGCACATGCCTCAAGCCATCTGGGATGACGTCACTGTACTCACCCCTGAGGTACTGTACAGATACAGCGGCGATCTTCAGCTCCTTGAGCATCATTTTGAAAGCATGAAAACCTGGATCGATAAGGGAATCGACCGTGGGCCGGATGGTTTGTGGAATGAGGATCGTTGGCAACTTGGAGACTGGCTTGATCCTCGTGCGCCTCCTGAGTTTCCTGGTGACGGACGCACCGATTCGGTCTTAGTAGCAGATGCTTATCTTGTCCGCGTCACGGATGTCTTCGCCCAAGTGTGCGGCATTCTGGGCAAAGATGACCTCGCGGCCAAATATGCGGAGGATGCGGCAGCACACCGAGCTACCTTCCAGGACAAATACATCAGTCCCAAGGGAAATCTGATGTCCAACTCTCAGACTGGTGTTGCGCTTGCTATCCAACATGGACTCTACAAGGACAAGGCGCAGTTGGCAGTGGGAAAAGCCTCTTTGGACAGGCTTGTACGCTCCTCGCATTTCCACATCGCAACAGGATTTGCCGGTACTCCCATCATCACACACGCTCTGACGGCATCGGGGGCAACACAGCTGGCGTACCGCATGCTGCTGGAGAAGACCTGCCCGAGCTGGATGTACCCTGTAAGCATGGGAGCCACGACTATTTGGGAACGCTGGGACAGCATGTTGCCTGATGGTACCATCAATCCTGGAGAGATGACAAGCTTCAACCACTACGCTCTCGGTGCCGTTGCGGACTGGTTGCACGGCACGGTAGCTGGCATCAGCCCTTTGGAGCCCGGATGGAAAATATTCAAAGTCAGGCCCATCCCCGGGGGCAATCTTACGAATGCTGAGACTTCTTTTGACGGCCCTTATGGCCTGATCAAAGTTCACTGGGAGTTTAAAGACGGGAACTTCGAACTCAAGCTGCAAGTTCCCCCGAACTCCAAAGCAGTCGTTATTTTGCCGTCTGAAACGAATGATATGGACCCTTCTGCAAGTGAGTTAGTTGTTGGTTCAGGATTCCACGACTTTTCGTGCGCATTTAATCCTGGGGAGTGGCCACCATTACCTTTGATGCCAGCGCACAAGAAGGCACCAGGTATAAATACAATTGCTGTATAAGAAGGGACGTACTACAAATATAGGTAGTAAAACCTTAGCCTTTACTTTTGCACTCGATGTAATTCACAAATTGTGATGACAGTTAGCCGTCAAATGACTGCGTATGACTCGGCACGTACTTTGCTAGCAAGCAAACATTGGCAAACGTAAGCACACTTAGAGTCACGTATCAATCACAAAACACTTCCTGTGAGGCACGTAAATGGATGCTCGGAACATTTGGTATACTGAAAATACGATATTCATCCTTCATGTAGGTCAGGGAACTTGTCTGTAAATGGAATGAGGAACCATTAACCTTTTCACGGCCGTCATATCCGTCTGAAGTTGACGAAACCACGTTGGCCAACAAAGAATCAACCAATCATTAGAACTATTAGCCTACTTGTAATTACTTCCAGGGTACCCGATCCAGCTTCTCACAACGGCGGTGATTAGCGGGACAGCAAGAGTAACGGCTGACATTGGGCCCAAAACAGAGTTAGATGGGCAAAAATGGCCATCGTATGTAGCATACGCAATGTCTAGATGCCAAAGTCAGCAGCAACTTCAAAGCAGGGGTCATTTTGTTGTCGTTTTATTTTCCAAGAAGCTTACCAATCCAGAGTAACCAAGCAGAGATAAAGGCACCTATACAAGGCACCATGGCCATGAGACCGAAATAATGACGGAGAAATTTGCGAGTCCATATCATGGCGATCGCGATACCGAGAAAGAAAGCCGCGGACACGATTAACCCCGTACTGCCACCCATGAGAAAGCTACCTGCCTCGTAAAGGTAGGAGTGAGCTGTCGACGACTCCGCACGATTGCACCCGTCAGGAATTTGGCCCAGCCCTGTAACACTCAGCGACGCTACAGCGCTCGGCACGGCAATAAGCCCTTGAATGCACTCCTGAAACAAAATGTCTGTGGCCGTATCCGTGAGAGATTCGTAGAGAAATGAGGAGAGCAAGACGACAACCCAGCCCACACGGGGCCGTGTCAGATACAGCAATGTAACAGCACCAATGCTAATGTCAAGCCCTCCCCAGCGCAGAAGTAGGGCCATTGCAACAGCTTGGACGACATTAAACGCCACGGATGCTAGAGAACCCCAAGGGCTCCATGGCCCAGCGAGCTTTGGCGAATTGTTGAGGTAGAATCTATCCCAGAAGCGGATCCTATTTCGCACCGGTCGGATCCCCAGCACAATGTGCGAAGCGATGGATGCAAAATGGCTAACTATCAGCGGGATGAGAATGAGTAGTTGCGTATTGCAGTCTTCCACTCGTGACTTGGTTCCGACCCCCGAGGGTAGTACACAGTGACTATAGTGGTCACCCAATCCCGACATGGTGGAATCTTCAAAGCAATTAATGTACGAAGGCTATTAAAAAGATAAGATCTGGTTGATTAACATTAAGAATTATAAAGCTTCAACACACATGAATTTACCTAACAGGCGTTTCCGGTGATCAACTTGGGAATGCAGGCAGTTAAATCTTCCTCAGTGGTGAACAACCCAGCATCCAAGCTGACTTCCATTTTCCCCTATTGGGATAAGCTATTGAGATAATCAACAACCTCTTTCAGCTGATGAAACAGCGTGGTGGCGGGATGCTTGGCAAGCTCGCCTAAGTCGTGGTGATTCGCAACATGCGGAGTCTCGACCACCAATTTTCCGACGCTGGGACCAAAACTAGGCTTCAGCTGAACCACCTTAACGACCTACAGCAAATCAGCTTTCTATACTCTTCCAACTATTGATATATGGTAATCTTATGCGGCAGTGCTTAAACGTACCACTTGTCATCCACGTGAGGCTCAGCTGAAATTCTGGTCTTCTTGCTCCTTGTACAACTAATATCAACCAAGCATGGTAAAGCGTTGATGTCCAGCCGCTAGCTAGCACATCGCGCCTCTCGCTTGATCAGTCTATCTAATATACGTTTTGTCATTACAGGCCTCTTTTTTAAGAAGTATAATAAAGATGCCAGTGGGCTAGGAATGATTTAATATGACAGTCAGTCAAGAGAACAAGTCTAAGTTATAGGATAAATCCTCTCTTCAGACTACACTACAGCTATAATAGTTGGTGCCCGTGTTCCTCCCTCTCGTATACTTCGCACGTGAATATAAGCGTATGAAAGGCCATCGTACCTCAAGAGCGCTCTAATTTACAGCCAAATTTCCTCAAGCCTCTTGGTCTCGTTGCCAACCTTTACCTCTTGCGTTTGGGCCTCAATAGCTACAACGAAGATACGAATCCACTCCTCGCTGTCGTTCTTCCATCTGAAGTTCAGTTAGCCAATCATGTCACGACTAAAGCATTCCTCGCACGACTTACGCGTGAAATTGGCCTCGCTGAACAATGGTCTCGCCTTCATTGCAGACGGTTTCGATGGTTTCAGTGTAGTCTGCCTTGCCGTCGACGACATTGAAAGGACCTTTAGGTGTGACCAAGATGGGCTTTCCCTTCTGGACAGTGAGGTAGTCAACCGACGTAGTGCGGTGCTATTCTTAGTGTCAGCACTTGATTTTACCCTTTCCCTTAAGACAAACGCACCATGGGGCTGACAAAGCCAGGAGACAAGTCCAAGTGATAGATGCGGACACCGCCGGGGTTCACAACCGGTACATCAGGGTCAGTGTCAGCAATATGCCTAGGTCAAGATGTCAGCTGAGGAACAGCGGCGCCGAAGCTGGGTTCGGCAACACTCACTCGCCGTCATTGGTAGCTGGGAAAGCATGCTTTCCAATGAAAGCTCGCCTGTATTGGCCTCCATATGCCGGCAGTGTCTCAACAGTGTCTTTCGTAGTCTTCACGATAGGCTCATTGAACCCAGCAGACAGAGGCAAAATGTTGTCAGAGACAATGCGAACAGCGCCGGGGAGTGGGGTCGACATTTTGTACTGGTTGGTGTGGATGTTGGTTTGGAGAGTAACAAGGTAACCTGATGGTTTTCAGCAAGCGACTTGATTGAATGAAGACGGAATGATTGTTGAAAGAATAATTGAATCTGAAGCGACAATCCGGTTGGCTTTATACTGCCAGCAGGCTGCTGTTGGTGCTCATTCATAATCAAGCGAATTACAAAGACTTTGAGAAAATTTCCTATTGCGGTAGTAAGTAACCCATTTGGTGAAGGCGGATTGATAATAAGCCAGCGCTGACCGAACCCTAGTCCCTTAACCTACACCGTTATTGGAATTATCTTATGCATTATCGGCAAGCTTCGACTTGCTTGACTCGTTTGGTATTCTGGTCATATTCCTACAATATTCCGGGGTGTGTTCTTGGGTGCGTTGCGAGAGCAAGGTGGGTCTTAGACAAGCAAACACTCACAGAACGTTTAGGTGGGTACAGACCTCATCTAGTGTCATAATGAAAGTTGCGTAGGAATAGTAAACGACTCAAGCGGCAGGAAAAGAAAGGTGATGATCAGCTGCATGAGGGGGCATTCTGATCGCAAATATATCAGTAGGAATCACCTCAATAATACGTTAGGTAGAGATCAAAGTATTTCTTTTCTTTTACCCCAAATAATTTAGTAAACAGAAACTACCTGAAACATCATCACGGTCACTATTTTCGTCTCCTACAGCCTCATCTTACGATCACTCCCACTGCCTTACCCGAAGATTGCAGAACATCAGTCTACCTTGTTGGCCACCCCACTCTTCACATTGACAACGTGCGCTACCTCGAGGCTGGCTAGCCCGGGCAGTGTCTTCAAAAGGTGCACAGATTCCTTGAAGGCAGGCGGCTCCTTGTTCTGCTCGTGCTCCTCGACTGATCTCCCCGTTATTAGTACCGAGTACACATCTCCTGGTCCTGTCTCCAGCCCGAGAAGTAGCTCGTTTGACTCCGCGCTCCAAGTCGTCAGGATGGACTTGAATAGCCCCGAGGGCCTCAGCGCTGCCAGCTTTTCCTATTTCAACATGTTTCTAAAGCCTACAAGAGTCTCCCGAATACCGCTTGATATCGGATTCTCCCCACGTAACTGAAATTCTCGGATCAGATGGTCCACATGTTTCCTATTCACGTTCCTTGAGGTTGCGTTCGATATGATCCACTGTAAAAATGTTAAAGATGAGCTCTGCTCCGCCTCCAGGCAAATGAGCTTCAATGCCGACGGAGAGTTGCCCACTTTGCCCAATTGCGCGCCGTGTTTGAGAAGCAGCAGTACTCGGTCTGTCAACCCCGACATGTTCTCCTCCAAGGGCACTTCTCTCCTTGTTGGATGTTTGATACGGCACTCGACAACGCCTTCTCGATCGCGCCATACATAGGTCAACACACCTGCCAACAATGACATGGAAGGCTTTTCACCCGGCTCTACCGAAAATTCCTCAACTATGGGCGCTTGGCCATGGACAAGGACATTGAGGTCGGCTCCCGCATCAATAAGGAGTCTCATGCAGTCAATGTTCCGGGCGAAGACAGTGGCAAAAAACAGAGGGGTGCCTCCACATCCTAGCAGTCGCCTTCTCTGAGTGTCACTAGACGTGAACGCATCAACATCCACGCCCCGCGCGATGAGCTCTTTGACTAGTAATGTCTGATCGGGGTGCGGTTCCATGAGAGTATAATGAAGAGGTGTAGTCGGGCCTAAGAACCGACGAGGAAAGGCAGGTTCATAAGGAAGAGTCATGTGAGCGTCCGGCACATAGGGCAGAATCTTTATAGCTGTCCGGATGTTGCCGTGATAAATTGTAGAATTTAGGGTCAGGTGCGTTGTCTCAAGAGGAATGCCATTGTCGATCATGTGCTGAACAAAATCCCTGGATTTGTCGTCGTCCTCGCCCTTACAGGCTGTGTGTAGAAGAGAGCCCCATCCAAGACGTTGCTCGGGGATATCTACGTCAGGTTGGCTGAGGAAGAAGTCAAATAATTCCTTATTAGATTGCCGTGCAGCCAAGTGTAAAAGGCTCTGGGCGTTATCCCCGCGGCATATATCCTCAGCCCCAGGCATCGGTATGAGAAGTTGGATAATGTCTAACCGTCCTCTTTTGGTCGCTATGTGGAAGGGTGTTATGAAAGTATCCTCGTCAGGCAGTGAGCAGCGGATGTCTGAGTGTTGCAGAAGTAATCTGATGACATCAAAATCATCTTCAGCAGATTGCACAGCGAGGCAAAGGGCACACTTCATGTCCCAGTCTCTAGCATTGATGTCCAATCCGGGATAATGGATGATTTCTTTGAGAAGGTCCAAATTTTGCGTTTTAGCAGCAAAATGTAATTTTCCGATCATGGATACCGGATCAGTCCTCTGAAGTAGAACGCTCAATATACCATGAAGCTTATTCTCGTGAACTTCATCGATCGCGGAGATATTGTGAGCAACCATATACGCTCCATGGTGTACAAGTGCCTCCGCGTACTCAATGTGGCCGTGTGAAAGAGCCACGTGTAGTGGATAAATGAGTGCCTTGGCCCCACCATTGAACCTACAAAACCCCTCAGATTCGTATGATACGTTAACATCTGCTCCTGAACGTAGAAGGAACCCAAGAATATCGCTGAACCCATTGCGAACAGCATGAACAAGAGGCGTTGCCAGTGTGTCGTAGTAATGTGGGACCTGGACATTGTTGACTCGGACGAGGTGGCGGAAAATCCCATCATCGCCCGGTTTGAAATCGGGGATAGGATCGTGTCCATAACTAGACAGATCTCCGCCGTATTGGTGGGCTCGCTGAAGAGTCTCGAGGCGGTTGTTTCGCACCGCCCAGCGGATACAGGAAAGACGTCCTGGGTCGCGGACCAGATTCCGAGCGTACAATGCCTTGTTGAGAATATCGTAGAGATGAGAACTAGCCCGAGCCAAATACGCATGACATCGCGCATACGTCTCCGGGCACCATTCACCATTGCTCAGACGATACCGCCATGCATCCTTCTCTGAAGGGCGGCCGTCAACCGGAGCAGCCGAGTCCCACGTGCATAGCTCGGCAATGTGCTGAATGATTTCCGTAGGTAGCGTTTCAAGGGGAGACATGACAGAAATTGCATCCTTCATCGTTTACGCTTGGTTTAGGTTGCTAGGGGATTCGTCCATGTGAGGGGAAATGAGCCACATTCACGTGCAGATTCGGAATGACGGGAAGACCGAGCTTCGCTTTTGATCTACCCTGGACCTAAGATTTTCTTGGATAATCTATAGGTAGGTACTTAAGGATAATAGACACTTACATAGAGTATATCGTAACATGCATATATTGGGGAAAACGTAAATAACTTGAAAGAGAGAAAAAAGAGAAAGAATACAAGTACTATAACCTATTATACAATTTGTGAAGTTACGAAAGGCTCTAACGAGTGAATATTTCTCCGCAAGATCATGGCCTAAGCCAGCCCTCGATGCAACAGATATAATAGCTATCGCTGGCTAGGGAAATTCCTCGACGGAAGCCGAGGGTTGCTCCAGCCTATATTCAAACCATGGACCTCGGTTGAGATGGCTTACGCTTCAAGAGTGCCCAAGTTTGCTATGCTCTCTTTCAAGGCCTGCCATCGGTAATAACCAACTGCACCACTGGGGCGCCCGATAGTGCATTTCAGCCTGATGGTGTATATCAGCTCAATAGTGCATGTCAGCCTAAGATTATATATCAGCAAGATGGTACCACATCAGCCCATTCCTGCATAGGTATCAGCCCAATGATATATACCAGCTCGAGAGTGCATGTCAGCTCGATGCTACATATCAGCTTGATAGTGCATGTCAGCCTGACAGCCTAACAGTATATATCAGCCCATTCGTGTATATGTGCCCAATGATATATATCAGCTCGACAGTGCATGTCAGCTCAATGCTATACATATCAGCCTGATGATGTATATCAACCCAATGGTAGGTTGCAATGGCAGAGAAACCTTGCTGGCATTTAACATATCCTCGTACTCATAGGTTAAGATGTCGGGTCCGGCACCTCCTGTCGTTTTTTAACATTTACGGTCATACTCAAACTCTCTTACATACCTACTCAACATTCCTGCGGTGCTAAGAGGTCAGCACTGAAGACATCGTGGTCGCTATGGCTTTTCGAACCGAAGGGGTTGAAAGCGAGGTAGGCGAGAAACCGCCACCTATTAGACTACTATCTCTGGGTAAGTATTTCCTCGAAATGCGGCTGTTGGGTCCAGGTACTGACGTTGCTAGATGGCGGGGGCATTCGAGGCTTGTCGTCACTCATCATACTGAGGCATCTAATGAAAAGAGTCAATCCCCAAAACCCACCAAAGCCATGCGAATACTTCAGCCTGATTGGTGGTACAAGTACCGGAGGGTGAGTAAGATAGCCTCAAAATGCCGGCTGTACCATTGACAGGTAGTTGGTAGAATAATAGCTTTAATGTTAGGTCGACTGGAATTGGACGTTGATCAATGCATTGAAAAGTACATTGAGCTATCATCGAAAGTGTTCCAGCTCAAACGAAGAAAGGTCGATTTATTAGGTCGAAGCAAAGATTGGTGGTCTGCTGATGGCAAATATCGCTCAGAAAGCTTGGAGTCCCAGTTCAGAGATGCCGCAAAGAGAGTCGGAGGCGATGAAGATGCCCTGCTCCTGCACGAGTATGGCACTTGCAAAGTGTGAGTCGTCCTAAGAATAGCCGTTCAACAGCCCCTGCTAAGATTACTGCTTAATCAGATTCGTATGTGCCCAGTCTAAAGCTCATAATACAACAATTCGACTTCGTACATACCTCAACAACCATTCTGTTGACCATTTATCTCTTGCAAATTGCAAAATATGGGAAGCGGCGCGTGCCACTTCGGCAGCCCCGGGATTTTTTGACCCTATTACTATTGGCGAGCAAGCTTACGTTGATGGTGCAACTGCTCAAAACAACCCTGTGGAGGAGGTCTTTAGAGAGGGTAGACTGATCTGGGATGACTTTGACTCCAGAGTCGAGAGTCTTGTGAGCATCGGAACAGGAGTGCGTGATCCTGGTCCATTCGGTGACGACATCCTGCACATTGTGCAGTCACTCGCCAAGGCTGCAACTCAAACAGAGATCACCGAGAAAAGGTTCTACGAAAGCCATTTTGACTACGGGTTAAAAGACGCCTACTTTCGTTTCAGCGTCACTAATGGCATGAAGGGTGTGAAATTGGATTCAATTGAAAGGCTTGCTGATATAGAGTCAGCCACGCAAGCTTACTTAGAAGAGTCTCGCGTTCAAAGAGACATCAGACTGTTCCTTGAAGCGGAACCTAAACAAAATGGCAAGTACCCATCTGAGGTATCGTGAACCGCTTGCTTACATGGCATCCAAGAAATCGTTGACGAGTTTACCAGAACTCGCTACCTTGACTAGCTTCCAGTACTAGAGTCTGGATCTTTGCACAATACGGCCGTACGCCTCAGGACCAATAGCAACACTGGGAAATGGTTCCTGGAAGATTCTTACAATCATTGGAAAGACCAGGCTAATTCCTTCGTCTGGCTCCATGGTGATGGTAGTATCCGTATCTTTTCGAACCTTTCCACGAACTCGCTAACTTTCAATAGCTGGGACTGGTAAAACAGTGTTGTGTTCGAGTATAATAGAGAAAATTAGACACGAAAAACTGGGCACTCTGGCCTTTTGTTATTTTTCCCATCAGAAACCAGAAAACTCCGTATACGGGCTCTTGTGCTCTATCCTCGCCATCTTGCTACGGGATCAAATCAAAGAACATCCAATCCAGCGCTCCCGGTACACAGTGCCTACGATCTTCAGCGACCTCTACAAATGTCACCACCCAGCAAAGGAACCCCCCTCTTCAGAAGTCGAGGATGTCCTGCAGAAGCTACTGCGAAAAGCAGGAGAAGTTTTCATTGTAATCGATGGATTGGATGAAGCTTCCCCCAAGGTCCAGGTCGAGACGCTCGAGCTACTTGCGGGGATAAGAAAGGGCAGCACGGGAAATCTCCATATACTAGTTGCCAGCCGTGGATATCTCGATATTGAGAGAACCATAGCGCGATTAGACTTCCCAGCTAACTATAGGGACATCTCAATGAACGCTACGGAAGTTGACCACGACATCAACATTCACCTAAAAACTTTCTTGTTGAAAGAGCCTTACGTGAGATGGTCTACACCATTGAAAAATGAAGTCCTTTCCCGGCTCACGACATCCGCCAACGGTGTATTCCGTTGGGCAGACCTTCAGATTAGAGCTCTGGAGCATGAGGATCGAGAGAAAGACATTAGACGAGCCCTCCAACGCTTGCCCAAAGACTTGCACGAGACATATGAGCGCATGCTACAAGACATAGAACAAAATCACAAAAAATATGAGGCCCTTTCGATCCTGATGTGGTTGGCATGGGCCAAACGTCCCTTGAATTTGGCGGAAGTGGCTGAACTTGTCGCATTCGATAGACCAAACGAAGGGGAGGAACTGGTTTTTGATCCCAGGGATCGCTTTTCTGACCATTCTTCTGTCCGACGTTTGGTAGCCGGCCTTGTCAGCTTTAACAACGACGACAATAATGACCGACCCGGCATAGTGACATTCGCTCACTATTCGGTTCTAGAATATTTGAAGAGCATAAGCGAGTTGTACGAGTCATTCCGTCTCCGAGAGATTGAAAGCCACCGGTTCATCTTTCAGTGCTGCGCCGCATATCTGTCTCACTACACTCGGAGTCTCGAAAAGAATGATAGGCTGACACCCTATCCCTTACTAATCTACGCATGCACTCACCTGGAGTACCATGCCAAAGCTTCTGGAAACGTTGAACTGGCGACTGCCAATAAAGTTAATGGCTTAGTCGACATTGTTGCGACCCGGGGCAACGAGTTAGCCAAGCTTCCGCAGAGTTTATTACCTGGCGACTATGGCCAACCTTTCAACCTTCTTTTCAACATAATGTGGAACGGCACGAGGGGCGGCACGTTTGACTCCGACATATTCGCCCTCCATATTGTGGCCTTATGCGGTTGGTCGAATATTCTTGAGCTTCTTTTGGATGCTGGTCCAGGCATTACAGGCTCTTACGACGTCAATTTCTGGGAGACACAAACCCCCTTACATTCGCTCGCTCAACAGGGCTTTATTTTAGGTCGGCTGGCGAAACCGACAGGCAACAACACAGTCCTGAAACTCAACAAAGTAGAGGACTATAAGCAAGTAATTGAGCTTCTTGTAGATGCAGGATTTGACTGCAACGCAAGGGACACTAGCGGACGAACCCCGCTTCACTTCGCTGTAGTTTCAGGCTACACCGACGTGGTTAAAGCTTTCCTCCACCGATCAGAAATAGACATCAACGTGCCGGACTCAGCATTTCAGACTTGTTTATCAGTCGCTGCGGAGTGCGGCCACGTTGAACTTGTCAGCCTACTGCTTGGGGCTAAAGACATCGAGGCTGACCACCGAGACGCTAATTCAAGGACGCCACTTGCTTTAGCCGCTATGCGAGGACATATTACTCTTGTTGACATGCTTCTGAATAGAGATGATGTCGATCCAAATCATATCGATCGAGTAGGGCATTCCGTCTTAGCCCTAGCTGCTAGTCTAGGACACGAAAAAGTTGTGGAACGGCTCTTGCGTGATGACCGGGTTTGCACTCACGGGGAAGATTTATTTGGAATCTCGGCAATGGAACACGCCTCCATGCATAACTGTCAACATATCGTATCAATGATGTCCAGTCGACATATCAAAGAAACAAAATGTTGTCAACCGGTAAAGTTGATATCTAAAATAGATCATCACGACATGGTTGTTCCAGAAAGACCTCAGAGGTTGTCAGAACATGCGCGGGATGGACCACTTGAACAGAAACAAGTACAAGTATTTGATGACATCTATTCAACGTCGTCCGTCGTCCAAGCCTACAGTGGCTTCATTGCACAGGAACATCAACTGAACCTAGGCCACGAGGTCTGGCAAACAACATTTTCCCACAACGGCAAGCTTCTCTCTGCGTCTGGGAAATCCCCAGACGTTCTCATCTGTGACACTTCCTCTATGAAGCCGATTTTCCTTCTCCGCTCCCATTTCTTTTAGAGAAGCCACATTTTGTACCATGCATGGAGTCCAGATGACACTATGATAGCAATAGTGGTGAGGATGAGAGTATTGGTGTGGGACGTCATTGTGAGTGATATATCTCTTACCTGCCAGAGATGCGAGCGGAAGCTGACGATACAATAGCATGGTATTCTTCTACGGGTGGCTATGTTGCAGAGCCGTGAGGATATTCTTGGCTGTGCTTGGTCCCCAGATAGACATTTAATCCTACTGAGTACATTGAGCGTACCCAGTATATGGCAATGGGACCTTGCAACAAATAGGTTAAGCCACTGGAAGAACGCGAGGCATCCAGCACTAAGCTTCGCCCTCTCAAAAGACGGTAGAACTGCTGTGTTCAACGATATGGAGAAAAGTATCCATGTTTACTCGGACCGGAATAGCTTATTTGAAAAAGCCTTTGCGCAGAGACCAATATGTGTATCAGTCACCAAGGACTCATGCCATGTTCTCGTCAGCACTAGAAGCTCAAATAACCATCAATCTGGGCTGCTGTCCCTTGTCGAAATCGCCTCACAGAATGTCGTCAAAGAGTACACGGGTTTCCAGAGTGGTCGATTTTTGATCAGACACTCGTTCATGGAATCGCAAGATGAATTGATCTTGTCCGGAAGCCACGGTCAGTATGAGACTTTGAATTGACTGTAACGTTCGCTGAAATTCAATGCAGATGGTTCCATCTATGTATGGAATAGAGCAACATCAAAGCTTGTTCTGACTATCAACGGAAAGCATAAGGTATGCAATGCAGCCGTTGCTTGTCCGAATGATCCATCTATAATTGCCTCATGCGGAGACGATGGGACAGTTAAAATGTGAGGCAATCGACCTGGATCTTTCGAGAACTGTTGACCGTGCTGACATCAAAGTAGATGGCGCCTTAAAGGCGACTGGCCATTCTTATTAGATAAAGATAAGGTTCACCCGGAAGTTTCACAGGAGGTGTTGGAAACAAACACTATCATACACGATCTATCAACATATTCAAGTGAAGCAATACACAACACTACCATGTTTGCTACCTTTCATGTCCCCACGATATTTGAGACACCAAAAGAAATCTAGGGTAGAATCCTCTTCATAATCAATACAATAGGACGGATTAAAACCATTTTTTCCCCTTCTTGTGAAACTGAGGATAAAAGTCTGAAATAATAGTCGTTTATTAGTTATTACCAGTAATTTTTCTGTGTATTCGTAGATTTATGGCACCAAACTGTAACAATCTCCACAGTAACTTCGCCCGACATGCAAACTTTTGGCCCCGAAGTGGTCCAAAAAGAGCTAACAGGACGTGATCAAATCCGTAACGAGATATTTTAACTTTGCCTGAAAACAACCAAGAAGCTCCTGAAGCCGAAGCCAAGAGGTAACGAGAATGGCAAGACTGCAGGCATACGCATCGGACAAGATGGAGGCTAACATCGTCAACCTGGCATAGCAGCGCCCACCGGACGGAGATTTATAGGGGTCGAGCACAATCTTCGGGAAAACGTCTGATTGTGGAGGGCGCTGGGGAGACTTCTCAAGCCCTGCGGATTAACAATATGTTATCAATGGAAGAAAAAAGTCAGCGCAATATCCATTCCTTTAAAATTCTCAGGGAAAAGAGATAGGCATTTAGCCAGAGCTTGAACCAGGGACATCTGACGTAGTTCTATCCATCAGATATAAACAATCAAACTTGTGTTGGATATCCTATCACACTTTATAGATCAAGGCCAACTTGAAGCGTGCTATAATTGTTAGACCACGTACTTAGCCGCCACGCCTGGCTGACATAACAGCCCTCGGTGAATCACAACGCAGGATATTATCTCCTGATACTCTTCATCTCAGTCAAACTGTCATAATCAAGCATAAACTACTAAGAGGGCCCAACTATCGCGTCAAGTGTGAATCTAAGAGAATGTGGTTTTGCTATGGAATAAAAAAATTAGGTCTTAGTCTTGCTGTCTCTTCCAAATGATCAACCCCACTGCTCTAGGATGCCTTTTGTACATGCAGCAGCGGTCGCTGCGGCATAGGATTGCCACCGTTTTGATTTGTGACAGTCCGCATGGTCACATATGCTCTTGATGACCATACATGGGCCATGGTCCCAAAGCCCTGCTCCTTCCATTTCAAATGCGATGATCTTTTCTTCTAGGGCAACCCTATCACGATCTTCTCCAGATTTGATCACTTTATCCCCGGAGGCTAATTTCCCGATGTGGATGGTAAGGTTGCGTTCTTGGCCCTGCTTTTCAAAATTTTGGGTTCTCCATCGCTGTATTAGTTGATGGTATTCACACCCTAAAGAGTCACAATTTGATTCTATGGCTTCTTCGCACACACCGCCAAGTGTTCCGCAATCATCTTCCCAAGAAGAGCATTGACTCTTTTCGTGATGCTTGTGTAAGTAAAATGGTTGGTAAAGACTGTCGTTTTCGATGCCTGGGTGGGTATATTGCAACCGTCTTTTTTCGTCTGGATGAGATTGTAACGCATCCAAGTAGTGGTGTGTGTTTTTCAAGAGCAAGGCGGTATACTCGGCCGTTTTCAATCTGGCAAGGAAACTACTGACCGCTGCATCAAGTTTTGACAAGCTTTCCTGGACAGTAGCTTTCCGTTTGAAAAATCCAGGATACTGCCGGCCGAAGTCGTACTGAACCAAGCCTTCGCTTATCACCACGTCCCCGAGGAGTCTTTCGCCCTCGCTCCCTGGTTCACCTGGTACTCCACCACATATGCCAACGAGCAACGAAAGCTTAATGCCAGTGAAAGTCGTACGGCATTGGGATGATGCTGTAGCAGCTTTGCTTTTGCCCATGCTTGGGATGTGCACGAGAACAACGTTGTGACGTCCAATCGCCCCAATGGAATAACAATTGTCGTCGCCTGGTGCTTTGGAATAGTCATGCTGATTCCAGTGAGCATCAAAGAGTGATAAGACGGCGTCGGCTTCGATGGGAAGTGCACAGAAGATGGCAATCGTAAACTCGCGTGCATGTGCTGGTTTTTCTATGCAGTCCTTTGCCACCGAGCCAGCTACACCCATGTCGATATGATTATTTTGAGCTGCAGTTTCATTTGCCGGACCATTTGGTGAATGATTATTAACCAGAACCGGACTCTCATCTTGACTTTTGGGGGCTTCCACTTGAGTTGCTCGAGGTTTAGGGGGTTGATAAGCCTGCCACAATGACGGTGGAATTCTAGCCTGTTTTGAGTGACGGTTTCGTATAAGGTCTGGGTGCACATTAGGTTTCCGAAGGATAATTTTTGAGACATTGACCGAGTTTTGTGGGACATCCAGAGGGCGGCAAGAAATGATCATTACTCGGATGATCGTCTCTGGTGAAATGGCCTCCACGTCTTCCAAAATGGTGTGAAACTTGGAAGGCCATGTCTTCGCAGCATCCGCAGAGCTGGCGTGAATCCCAAGGTCAATGATAATATACAACTCGGAGACTAGATAGAAGACATCGCAGATAACTTTGAACCAATCTGCACATGTCTTGGCCTGGCTAAATGACTCGACTAGATCAGTCAGCACCTGGACTGAAGTACAATCGGCTACCGTCTGTAGCGCTTGGATCGCTAAGTGTCTTAATACTTCAGCCTCCTCTATCGGGAATGGAGGACGGCAACTCCCGGGCAACGTTGGCTTGTAAACCATGTAGGCGACAGGCTTTTTTGTGTCCGCGATATGATCGGCGAGTTCAGCACCGAATATTCCAGACCGGCCTCTGGAGTCATGGCTGCCCTGCAGCAAGAGGATGGAAGACTTTCCGGCCCCAATCCAAGATGAAAGTTGAGGGTGCGCCCAGATATCATCGCCATACGCTTCGAAGGGGTCGAGCCGAACATTGCTGATATATTTGACCTGCTGTCTCAAGAAACAAGGATCCAGGAACCCAGCATGTGGTTTGCAAAAGCTAGCGATCTTCCATAATAATGAGGTGTCCTCTAATCGCACCGCTGTCCAACGTGGCTCTCCCGAATCGTCCATCAGTGCTGCAGAGTAGGGGAGACTCTATCAGCACAATGTGATGTGGGAGAAAAGGCTTCCATTTTATTTTGCTACTTACACTCCAAGGCCCGGCACAGATCCCTCACTGCTGAAAAATAACCCTCATCTAGCTGACCTAGACAGGTGATGCCTGTCGCCTGAAGGGTTTCTTTGCGGGCAATACATTCTGACTGCGCTCTGAGTTCGTTTAGCAAGTTCGTCTCCTTGAACCCAACGGAACACGTCATTGTTTGGTTGGTTACTTATACCTGCTATGAGCAGCTATAAAGCTTTGGAAAAATTGGTGGTATTTTATCAGGATATGTGGGGACCGAGCATGAATCATCTGCACAACACATCTCCTTTGAGTAAGCATAAGGCAGACAGGAATCGCCCTTGCTGACTGGCATCTAACTTACAAGGGGCTTATTATTGGCTACAAGACCCGCCGCAAGGCCACGGTGCCTCGGCCAGGCCAAGCTTGCTCAACCCCGCACCAGGCTGAGCAGTCCAAGCCTCGAACACTCCCTCCCAATTCCCAACGACCGGCCATCCCAATCGCGAAAACGACGCTTCCTTGTTGTTCCGACAGACCATTTATCCTACACACGCCATGCATACGAGCCTAGATATGAACATTGTTTGAGTCCCGCATCGACTCTTCCGTACGCGATCACGACTTCAGCGAGGCGCGCATTGTACCACGATCGACAAATTTCAAACTTTTTACGCCGCGTTCGATCCGAAATAATCGCAACCAAGAAGCCGGAGCATTTGGGCGCCATCTCAGTTGGTGCTTTACTCCCTGGCGACAGGAAAAGTAGGCCATAGTGGTCTCCCACATGTCGGTCTATTCCACCGGAGCAATCGAATCAGACGAAGGCCTGCGCAAGCACAAGTGCCAATTTGGGGTACAAGGCGCTAGGATCCCTCACCGAGACGACTTTCACTACAGAATCAAATACGCGGACGAACGAGTGTCGTTATCACAAAGAACGTGAGAGAGGGACGATGAACAGGAGGAGCAAGAGCGAAATATCGAGATTAAGGAGCCCTGCTAGACAATTCGATGACCAGCAAATATATAGAGCAACGGACGGTTCGCGCATTCAAAGACCTGCGTCCATGGGAACGGTCCCGTTTTCGCCAGAATCAGGAGGACTTTTACCTCCCAAATGAAGAGGGCTACTATCCCGGAGATGCCTTCCTTATTCGTCATCTTGAAAACAATAAAGGCAATGATGTTATTAGTATAGACAATGCTTTCTCTTCCTTTCCTAGCGGTGCCGGACGCCGTCACACTCCCCACACAAAGCCAGGCGGCGACAATCTTATACCTGAAACAATCTCGAAAGATTCAACGGCCGGCCAGGAGGCAAATTTCGCTCACCTTCTTGCTGAACTGGGGAAGAAAAACACAGCGCGTTTTATCCCTGATATCGAAGCTCAAATGGGTCAGAGACCCGAGATTTTTCTTCGCGATGATTCTGGGTCCATGTTTCTTGATGCACAGATGCATTCGAAGCCTGTAGTAAGTGAGGCGAGAAGGCGAGAGATCTCGGTCGGGCCCATCGATTTTGAGAGTCGCCGTGAACATATACGACTCAAATACAGCAAGTCTCTGAAGGAGAGCCAGGCCAAAAAAGCGCGGCAGAGAGCAGCGGAGAAGCGACTAAAGGAAATGGACGAGGCCGCAAAGGCCGAAGCCGTTACCGAGGCCGCCACCAAAGCGTCCATGGTTCTTGAAACTCAGGAGTCGCCGGGGAAGAAGACCTTGGCGAGTGTACCCGAAAGGACTTATTCTCGCTCTGATTCTCTCACTTCCGACGCCGAATCTGATGCGTCATCGTTTGACAACAATAACAACAATAACAACAAATACAGTTCCGATAAAGTTGTCAGAAAAGAGTACATTCGAGCGACAAATGAGCACAGAGACTACGGAGTCTTATTTCGTAGGGCTCAATTGTCTGAACAGGACCAATACGAATCAGATTACAAAGAAAATCCATCTGAACCACTGGACCCCTACGATCGTATAACTGGTCGTGGTGGTAATTCGCCTCCAGGCAAGGCCTCCCCTTCTTATACCTATACTCCCACACAAGAGTCGACTCCTACTCCTTCCCCTAGGCCTCCTTGGTTCGACCATGACCCCAGACCAAGGCGTAGCAGCTCGAAAAGCCATGATATCAGAATTCTTGAGCCCTCCGAAGATCCTACCATCAACCAATCTATTCTTTCTCCTGCTTTCCCCGGCCTTCGTATAAGGCCCAGATCTCTGCTTCCTTCATCAGTAAATCAAAGAGGAGATTTCGCCAGGCTTCAGTCTGACATGGGGAATTTCTTCCCCAAACCGGCACGTTTCAATCTGAATTCATCTCCTGAATCCTTGCATTCTTCACTGGGAAATTTATCAAAGGGAAATAAAATCCAATCTTTTGGTCAGCGGGGCAGCCCGGATCGTCTCCAGACAAGCGGGACGCATCTCTATCCGAGACAAAAAACTCTAGAAGAAATGGCGGGAATCATGCCTCGGGCTTCTAGTCAGCTAGGTCCATGAAATTAATATTGCAATTAGGAGACTCTTCACGTTAAGAAGAGGGTTCTTTCGAATCGCAACCACTGTTTTCCAATTTGTACTACTCCCTGCGCACGATAGCTTACATGCTTTCATCCGGCGAGTCAAGAAGTAGGACAGTGTTTAATGCTCTTAAATTGAATCAAGTTGACCGTCACTGACACAACTACCTACCTCATCCTATGCCACAGCCTCAGTTGGCTTCTGTACCTGTGCGTTCGCCATGCAGCCAATCATGAAACCGACACGAGAAAAGAGAAACCGAGGAAGGCCGACAAGTTCCTGGACACACGCTTCACCTATCCGACTACGCTTCGCCCAATAACCCCTTGCACTGGAAATACATTCGAGAACGGTACTGTCTTGGCCGAGCTGCATCCATCAATTCACAGCTCTCAATCATCGTTTTTAACCTTTCCATAAGTTTGTTGATCAAACGAGCAGGCGAGTCTATTTGAGATGGAATCAAATAGATGGTCTAGAAGACAAACAAGTTTATTTCTGCGTAGCTTCAACTCTAGAACCCACCCATCTCTCAATGTGCAATAACTCTATGGAACGTCTATAAACACTGAAGAGCATGGCTACACAGACTCAGCGGGTCTCTCTAGCCCGCTGGAGGTCATCCTCCGAGTATCCATTGTGCACCTCTCGGAGATAGTCATCAAACTTCTGCACCTCACTCATGACGACCTGTAAGTGGTTGTACTGCAACGGCTGTTGACGATACAACGCGAGTTGTCGAGCGGTAGAAAGGGCGTTGCGGATGTCTCTTCCGTTCAGAGCCGGCTTAGATAGCTCTTCAAGGTTCTTATTCAGATCATGAATGTCTATCCCGTACCCAACCTTTGTGTGTCTCTGTGACTCAGTCAAACCAGCCTCCAACGTTTGCTGAAACTCGTCCAGATGCCCAATGAAATTCTTCCAGATCTCTCGTCGCTGGTCCTGGTCAAGGTTTTTGTAATGTAGACTGAGCTGGATACGTGATTTGAATGCCTCATCAAAAGTCCCAACACGGTTGCTAGTTAGAATTAAGATCCCTACGATTCATCAGTAATAGCACGCTCAGAATAAATCCTTCATCTTCACTTACCGTTGTAGTATTCAAGGACCCGCAGGAAGACTATTGCAATCAGCAAAACTCAAGCCCCTCCGACGAGACCAGTGACTTACCTGAAACGAGAGCATTTCTCTCCAAGTTTAACAGTGATCGCTGCTCTAGAAATACATCTGCCTCGTCCAAAAGAACCACTAGATAAAAGTTAATGGGAATTTGGTGGAGGAAGGACAGAAGTACGTACCACATTTCCAGGTAGTTCCAAGGAGCAGAACACTTGCCAAGTACTAACTACTGTCAGTATCGATTGAAGTAGTGGTCCAATAATTCCAATACTCACCTTCTCGACCTCGTCTGCTTTTGTCCCGATATCACCGCATGTAACTCTATAAAGTGGTCGCTGGGCGATCTCGGCCACACTTAAAATGATCAGTAAAGGGCCCAAAAAGCCAGGTAAGAGGGGGGGGAAACCTTTCTGCTGTGAGTGTTTTTCCTGTTCCAGGACCACTAATAATGACTGTTAGCAGTCTGATATGTCAGAATGATCAAGATCATCATTACCCGTGAAGTAACATAAATAATCCGCTTCCTTTGCCTTCAATTAAATCAGTCTTAGACTTTACGCTTAGCTGATTGCTGACCACTGCGCGAATAAGCTCCTTCGTCTCTTTGTTGATCACAAGATATTCGAAAGCCTTCTTATTCCAGCGCACATCTTCCAGATGCTGCACCTCGAGTTGTACTGATTTGGATTAGCATTGCTATGACAAACATGTCAAGAAGGACATCGGATGACTCTCTACCCCATTCTTTGTTTTGCATATTAAAGCCAATAATGTGAACTGGAAGACACATGTAAAATTTGTCACCCAGTGGTGGCTCGTCTTGCTCCATGTTCTTTTTCCCCAGATCATCTTGGTACCAGGTTGCCTTACTTGGATGCATGCGCTTGTAAGTTTCCATGTCTATCATATAACGTGAAGATTCGGCCTGAGCTCAATTAGCTCAGGGGCCAGGAGATTAGGTCAAATTATGGATTTCCTACCGAGGAGTGGAGGTCGCTTTCACCATCCATCTTGGATGAGACGTAGTTCCGATAGCGGCATCTCCAAAAGAATCTACCCCGGGCTCGGAGGGTGTCGACTATCTCAGGTCTCGCGAATCTCTTGGGATAAAATTCGAGGGACTTGATATCAAAGGCTTTCGTCTCTGATGGCAATGCAAACAGCGAGAGAACAATCGTGGAGAGCTGAAAATTGCCATCAAATTCCCAAGACCAGACCTTGATCGCGGTCACGGCGCTTCCACTTGTCCTTACCGTATCCGATACCTCAAAGCCTTGGAGTTCTAAGTGAGGACTTCGATCGGGGCTTGAAACAATCAGCTCACCGGGAGGCTGCGATTTCATTAGTACTCTGGGCTTCAAGTGGCGGCTTTCAGGAACACAAACGTATAGATAGCGAAGGTATTTGGCTGTAATTTTGTTTTGCGACATCATCTTGTCCACGCGTTTCCATTCGCCGGACATTCTAGTCTCAACGTAGTCCTTGAAAGCGGATAGGTAGGGGATGTGTTTCCGGTCGATATGCTCCATCGCCTCCTTGATATCTTGGCGACTATGAAACCACCATAGATAAGGATATGTGACTTTTTCAGGATCATTGTCTGAGACCTCGTCGGCCTTTTTCTTTTTCGCCTTGTGGATAGATTCCATGAATTGAGGATGCGGAAAATCTCTCCACACACGGTGCGCAAGCATCGATAGCGCATCTATCATGGCCTTAGATACAAAGGCAATTGACTCATCTTTCAACAATGACGAATACATGTCAAGGTCGTCATGATCTCCCTCGTGCTGCTTCACATTAAGATCATGACCATCACAACACTTGAAGTGCTTGTATACGATGAAAGCGATATCCTTGTTGCGTTCCAGGTGGAGCTCTAAGTTGGTGACGGCGACTCGGCCTAATAGATGCACGCCATCTTGAGCCGTCTCACCAGAGCTGTGCAGCTCTTTGTACAAGGTGGAGGGTGCTTTGGAGGATCTGGCACAGTGGATGGTGTAGAGAATCTCTGCGCGCGGCGGACCAACAGTGCCTTGAGAACCGTAACGGAGCCTTGCTTTTTTAAGCTCCTGCAGCGATTCTTCTAGATGATCCAGAATTTCTCCATCAGAAACGTCCGTTGAGAATTCAAGAATCCGGCAGAGCTCAGCCCGCCAGTCGATCGTGGTGATGCGCTGATGCGGGCGATTTTGTTCCCGGGAACGGGGGGTTGGTGCACGCGAATAATGTCCCTCAGTTTCACTTGTATGTGTTGATCTGATCCCCTCGTCATAATTGTCGCTTGAAGAGTCGTCATCATGTCCTCCGCGTCGCCTCGTTTTTGGGGCACCATGGTATGCCCGGCTCTCGGCAGAGCCTTGTGGGCGCCTGTGATTTGGGACCGGGTGTCGTCGCGTTGAGGGGGACATGGTCATGGTCTAAATGATTGAAAGCGAAGCGGAGACCCAGAGACGTTTCAATATCGCATTTCAATGTGGGCGCGACCCGACAGAGGCTGAGCTGCGCACGTGATAGCTGATCCTTTTGCGAGATAATGGCAAAATAGGTACTTTATTTGCCCTTCAAGGTGTTCCTACCCTATACTTTGCATCCTGCGCGGAGCCCTGATGTGTTGGCGTTGATGACCTCATAGGTAACAAAGCTTTCTTCCGAATTTATCTTTAGATTTCGAGACGTATTTTCCGTAAAAATACTGTGATATTTTTATCTTTTTATGGAACAGTCATCAACGCCTCCTTTACATATCCTACTACTCCTGCATTATAGCTATGTACCATACTCCAAGAGACATCTGTCTGTATATCTCCTAAAGTGTGGAGGTTGGAAAAAGAAAGGACTTACTTGGATAAATGTTTATCATACAATAGAATAAATGTGTTGTTTCACATCAGGATGGCCTAGAAGATGCCATTGGTTGATCAACTCCTATCCTCAATTGTCTAAACTGAGCCAGTTCTACCGCCGGTCTACTTACTAATTACTAGCCTCTAATTTAGTGGGCTTAGCTTCTACGTTGATGCACTAACAGCGGGAATGGCTTGGGAACATCAACCATAATTTCACACAACGCGGTACAGACAGGTTTCTGTACTCCTCTCTGCCTCTCTGCTTGGCTATTTTCCAAATGAAAATTACTTGAACTTAATGGCAAACTTGTTATTCTCAGCTTCAGTTTACAAGAAAGAGCATGCTTCTAGAGGTCGAAGTAGGATTTTGTTGACTCACGGATCATTTCTCTCCTACACATCACATCATTAGTCCAATGTACTTAGGATACATCTTTAAACATCTTAAAGTTCATAATAATTATGTTAATGACTAGATAATTTGGAAACTAAGACTTCTCCCCTACGTTACCTGTCACTGGCTCTCTCCCTGCCTGCCGATCCTCCTCTTGCACTTCTCTAAAGGTTGGGGGATTCTCGTCCTCGATAAGAGGTATCACCAAAGATTGATTGCTGCCCGCTGGAATTCCAGTTGGAGGGCGCACAAATGCTTCACGTGGAGGCCACAGCACCTCAAGATCCCCTTTGCCATCGACCTTTGCAATTTCTCCAGCTATCTTGAACTCCATCTCCCATTTGAGCTGGTTGGTTATCTTAATATTGTACGTAACGACCCCAGGCCGCACGAACTCATGCCACCGACTATCTGCCGGACGCGTTAAATACTGCGGGATCTTGAAGTTGAAAATTTTGCCGACGTCGATCGTGGGGCTGTCATTAGAGCAATATAATTCAATGGGAGAGGAGAGCGATTTGAGAGCTTTGTTTGTGTCCAGGCTGGTAGCGAATTTCCAACCATTTTCGCCGCCTCCTATCGGCCGCCGTTGTTCAGTTTTCACCTCCACAATGGTCCAGATATTGACGTCCAGGCTCGTGAGCTGCAACGTCTGCGGTACGTCACGTAGACTCTTACTGGATTGGTCCCATTGAGGAATAGCCCTCAAGGAAAATTGGAAAGGGTTCGGATCATCTGCTTGGATGACTGTGGGTGCACCAACCTCGACCTTGAAAGTCAATGACGGGACTGAAGGAGTGCCGAACACTTTCTTCACCTTCTGGGATCTGGATAACTTGGCATTCTTTAGGCTGGGCTCAAGATGGAAGGAAGAGACTGTCAACTCTGTGTCATGTCTCTTCACCTTGTTGCTCGTAATGGATGATCCAGGATTAAAACGTAAGATCCGGATTGGCTTGATGGCAGTGTAGGTTCCTTTAGAACCTTTCGCGTCTTGCCTCAAGCCAGCTTCGAGATAATACTCCACAAAGGCCTCATCAAGGTCGCCTGTCCATCCTACCTCGAAACTAGGAGGTAGTTCATCCTGTGCGACTGAGGAAGGTTCAATAGATAGGAAGCTCTCGGTGCAGTATCTGCCGCCTCCAAGCTCGACATGAGGCGGTAGGGGGACGGAGAAGCGCCATTTATTTTGTCCTCCGCCATCAGCTGCAATATGAATCGGCCCACTGAATAAAGTCTTCACAGTTTTTGGACTATTAATGAGCGTGAATTCTCCACGATGTTCGCTGTTGCGGTGCCCAGGCACAACACTCTTTGATTTGGCTCTTCCATGAAGCATTATCATGACGGTCGCTGTTGGACAAACGGTCGGGGCCTGTCGATGAACATGACCAGTTATAACATCGCCTGGCCAGTAGTGTTCTCTGTCTCCGTCGAGTTCAATTCCCAGCGCTGGGCCGCACTTTTCTGGTGTTTGGGGCATCCTCAAGAAGCGGGCTGAGGCTGGTTACTTTCTGAGGATCAAGTGGATCTTGTGCTCTTTAATCTTCTTTGCTAGAGCCTAGCGATGAGCCCTTGCGGCGTAGGAAGCCTTGAGAGAGTCTTGGCAGGTAGGATTACCATGCCCAACTGATTTTTGCTGGCTGCGCCCGGGTTGGGTTGCAAAGTCAGCAACCACTCCAAGTCTACCCATGATCACATGGGAGGCATGATGTGCCTCAGACCCTAAAAGAGCAAGTCATCCGCTGGGGTGGCATCCTCTCTTCTTGGCCAGGCTAAAATTCCTTGATGCTAATACGAGGATTGGCTAAACGTAGACAAGTCTGATCCCTGCAAAATGGAGCTCACGGTCTCAGCTGAACCCAATACAATTGGGAATTTGGGAATCAAGACAATCCGGGGGGTCCTCTCGTTTGGTACTTCAATGTGATCAAAATTGAGGTGAATTGAGAACCCGTTTAAGACATGATTCCTAATAATGGCCTTTTATGTGTATGTATTCTTAGATTAATAGACTAGAAACTAAAACTTTTCATAACGTCATATACTACCGGCACCATCTCGAAGTATTTTTGCAATTGGTCCTTCTTCACCAAAATTACTGAAGTCGGCATACCATAGAGCAGTTCGGCCCTGGTCATCAGACGCATCTTTATCGGCGCCGCTGTCGACTAGTAGTTGCACGACCGGTTGGTGCCCTTTCCAACAGGCCCATGACAATGGCGTCCGGCCCTGATGATCTGCCAGCTCTGTATTTGCACCCTTTGTGAGAAGGAGTTGAACAACGTCTTGACGTCCTCCTCCTGAAGCCAGAGACAAAGGTGTCCTGCCACTCTGATCCTTGAATTCCATATTTGCTCCATTTTCCAATAGAAAGCGGACAATGTCCACTAGTCCTTCTTCAGCGGCCTCAGAGAGCAGACTGCGGCCAGGCTTGGACAGAGTGTCAACGCTGGCCCCCTTTCGGAGCAGTTGCAGCGCGACACTCTCGCTGCGTCCCAAAAGTGCCTGTTTCAGAAGTGACTGACCCTCGTGATCTAGCCATTTGATATCGGAGCCATCCATTGTTAGATGAGCTACAGCATCCTCGTGTCCTCCTGCAACAGCATACCACAAGGGCGTCCAGCCTCGCTGGTCAACCGAGTTGATGTTGGCTCCAGCTGCCTGAAGCATTTTCACGACATTCGTATGTCCGTGACCTGCAGCCCATGATAAAACTGTCCGTCCGGCTCTATCTGTGGACTCGGCCTCAGCACCTTTGCCGAGCAGGTAGCTGACAAGACTTTCGTGTCCACTTGCGGCGGCCCATGAAAGGACAGTCCGGCCTGTATTATCAATCGAATCAAGCTTCTCTCCCTTGCCGAGGATGTATTTAACAGTGTTTTCATAGCCATTCCCCGAAGCCCATGAAAGAGCCGTCCGGCCATCATTGTCAGTCGAACTGATTGACAGACCCACGCTAACGAGGTAGATGAGTGTAGATGTGCGTCCTCTCCCAGCCGCCCATGATAAGGCCGTCCGACCACTGCAATCTACAGACTTGACTTCAGCACCCTTCTCAAGAAGATATTCAACAATATCGATCTGTCCAGCTTCGGCTGCCCATGATAGAGCAGTCCTTCCAGCCAAATCTGCAGACTCAACGTTGACGTCCTTCTCAAGAAGATGTTGTATGAGGTCTTTTTGCCCATTCTCGGCCGCCCACGATAGGGCATTTCTTCCACTGTTATCAACTGAGCCGACCATAGTATCAGCTTGTCCTAATAAGTATTCCACAGCGTCGACATGGCCGCCTCTTGAAGCAAACAACAGAGCATTCCTTCCCAGCGAGTCCACCGAGCCCAGCATGCCATCAGAAATGCTAAGCAGGTACTCCATGGACTTTACCTGACCAGCTGAAGCAGCCAATAGGAAAGCATTTTGTCCATCGTGAGCTGTAGAGTTGATCGCAGTGGGGGATTTCTCGAAAAGGCACTTCATAGCATCGACACGTCCTTTGCCGGCAGCCCACAACAGAGCCGTCCCGCCACCAAGATCGGTCGAACCAGGGTCAGCACCTTTTTCAAGGAGATATTCAACCGTCTCTAGGTTTCCATCTTCTGCAGCCCATGATAAAGCGGTCCTGCCTAGCTTGTCTGTTTCCTCGATGTTGGCGGATTTCTCCACAAGACACTTCACAGTATCTTCATGCCCATTTTTAGCTGCCAAAATTAACAAGGTGCATCCCTCTTTGTCCTTTGTTTCGACTTCTCCACCTCTCTCAAGCAGTAATTCTACCATGGAGGTGGGACCAAACTCCGCCGCCCGGCATAAAGATTTCTGCATATCTTTATCCCCGAATGTAGCCCCTAGGTCAAGTAGATGCCTGGCGATCTCAGTATGCCTGTTCATGGCCGCAAGCAGCAGCGGAGACTTGCTTCCTCCATCCTTGGCATCGAAGCAAGCGCCCTTGTCGAGCAGCAGTTTCGCGATGCTGGTGCGCCCATGCGTGGCAGCCAAAGCTAGTGCTGTTTCCTTGGAACTGTTCTTAGCCTCAAGATCAGCCCCCTTCTCGAGCAGCAATTTGACGGTGTCTTGGCTGTCAGACGAAGCTGCCCATAGAAGCGGCGTGAGCTCATAGTGCTTATCGCGTTCTTCGATAGCATGCGGCTGGTCGAGAAATAGGTTGACGACTGGGGCCAGTCCTAAGTGAGATGCCACAAGGAGACTTGTTGCGTTTGTCATCGTCCTGAGTATCCCCCTCTCTTGACTCACTTTGAGCCAAATTGGAAAGAGCTCCAAGCTAGGATCGCAGAGCTTAGCTGCTAGTGGTAGAATAGGATGGCCATGCGTTATCTTCGCCCGGCGGAAGAACTTGAGCCAGTTCCGGGCCGAGTAATCCAACAGGGCAAGTCTGGCTGGTATATCGGCACCCTCACCAAAAGGCAACAAGTTTAGGTATTGTACGCATATCTCTGCCATTACCTCATTCTCACGTGGTAGAGAAGCTGAACGATGCCGGATAGGTTCACCTTCAGCCGACGGGGATGACTCCTTGTCCCTGACAAGAAACTCGCGAGCAGTTTTGTGGCGAAAAGAAACCTTGTTATGGCGAATGGATAGAAATATTCCAGCTAGGGAGGGGACCTTTGACTTAAACTCGTCTTCGGTTTCCAATTTGAGGTCGGAAATCGATTTCACTTCATAGCCCATGTTCAATGCGACGTTCATCTCCGCGACCGACATCAACTGGTCTGAGGCTAGGACAGCGCTCAAAAGTTTCTGGACCAGTTTGGATTCCTTCGACCTGTGTAGAGCCTTCTCATAGACTTCTTCAACGCTTTTTGGAAGGGTTGCAAGCGAGGCATGGCTGCTTCTAGATGATTCATCCAGTTCTTCTGTTGCCAGGTAGTCGAGAACGAGGTCCACCCACAGGTGGGTTTTGTTCTCATTAGAAGTGAGTGTTTCTTTGATATAATTTTTGGTGTCGCCCGATAGCATCTTTTTGTCCGATAGCTTATCAACTCGGATTGAAATCAAAGAATTTAGCTCTTGGTGGATTGCATCATTCTCCGTCTCCAAAGATATATGAGAGTATGTCGATGATGCCGCTCTTTCAAAATAGGACTTGACGTTATCGGTTGGACGGCTCGTGAGAAGACATTTCAATTGTTTGCTTCCTTGGTGCTCGTCCCGAGACTGGACTTGGATTTCTTCCACTAACTCTTCGAAATCCAATATATCGCAATCATTTAGAGAATCCAAGACTATGATGACAGATCCAGCTTGAGGATCGCTTGTAACAGCGTGTAAGAGATTCCAGAGCAATGAAGTCGAGCTGGCAAAGTATGTGCCGCTGTCCAGGAGTTTAACGGCATGTTGTATCAAGCATGGCTTTTTAAGGAAAAGCTGATGGAGCACGGCACGAAGTGCCTGCTTCAATGTTTTCTGGTCCTGGCTATTGAAGAAGAAATAGCAAACCGTTTCTGTTGGCGATTGAGTTATGCCCTGGTCAATCAGGTATTTGGCCAGTACGGATTTCCCAGAGCCGGAGTTTCCTGTGATGAGCAGCGAGCCATTCTTCTGTTTCAGCCACTTATCATATTCTTCATTCTTAAGTAACCACTGGCAGGTGTTTTCGGCCGCTTGGTCTATCCAATCCTTGTGCCATTGGTAGGAACTATCGGTACTGTTGGGCGCGGGGCCGAGTAATTGAAGACATTGCTTCTCTTTGTCAGATAATTTTGGCGTCAAAATGCCTTCTCCAATCTCCGTACCACCCATTGCAGTGTCATCTTGCTCGTCGACCGTCTTAAATAGATCCAGTTCAAGGACTGTCTTCTCCCCTTCGATCTCATTTGGGGCGATTTGGCGTAGGAGATCCTTTGTGAAGGCAGCAGCGGCCATGGCAGCATAGCCTCGCCACTCCTTGTTTATATGGCTATCTGAATAGTCGCATATGCCACGGATAGCTAGACAAGGGAAACGACTAGGCATCCCCGTAGCTCCGGTCTCGAAGCATAGTACCCCCGTTTCCTCCGCAAACTTGTCGCGAGATGCTGCATCCTTCATTATGCTCTCGGCCGATGCGATTAGGCCGTAATGCACAGCGATTCCTTCTTCGCTTCCAGACCGATTCGTCCTTTTCACAAGATGCGATGGGTGATCGCTAAATATTTCTGGGCATTTGTGATTGTCGTCCAAGGGGTAAACGACTTGGCTTCGGTACAGTTGGTCTCTGCTTGGGCTTGGACGTAGGTAGTTTTCTTGGAGCCTAACTGGCTTCTTCTTGAGGGCATCGTCAATGGCCTGCTCGAGTTTATGGATTTCATCATCGCCCCTTGCGGCGTCAAGTTTATGCAAAGCCGTCTGCAGGATTATCGGTGGGTTGTTCAGGCGGCCAGTGAGTCGGAGGGCCTGGTCTTGGATACTTTGTTCATAATCATAATACACAACACCACCGTTCCCGTCTTGGGTAGAGCCGACGACGACATCACCAAGACGTATATCGTTCTGCTGGCTTGGAGCGCCACCGCCGATGCCAACCAACAACCCAATTTTGATGTTGGGGAAGGTATTCAGCATATTTTTGGCCACGCGTGCAGTAGAGGTACACTCATATTCGACATCAGGCGAGACCGCAAGCACAACAAAATGCCCGCCTATGGTTCCCAGGGTGTAGCGATTCCAGTCGTGTTCATCTACAGAGCGAGGCGAGGGATGAACCTCATCTAGAAACGATCGTGCAGCAACATAGTCGGTGCCAATTCCACAGATCCATCCGACAGCATAGTCATTTGGATTCGACATTTCAGGGCAAGTGAGGATGAATTATGTTGCCGACAGATAATCGTACCTTTTTCTAGGACTAAGGTCTCTTCGGCTAGAAACAGCGTTGGCTTTCCCTGTCTTCGGAGATGACTTTGTAGGAGGAAGCCCGAGATTGACGTTTGAGGCGAAAGCAATGGACTTTTGTGTCATCGCAGCATCGCCCACAACAGTGGATATGAGAATGAGGGGCACGAGGGCACTAACCAGCAGGCAACGGCCGGCACATGTCAGCCTAAATGCTTACCATGATGCTGCGCAGCTCTAGGCTGACAAGGCAGACAAGGCAGCAGCGCGAATTAAGCCAGCGAATCATCGAGGTCCATTGAGAGTAGGCGACTCAAAAAAGAGAGGTGAAAACTTCACGCGCGGCCAATACACATGTACAATCTCAGAATCCCTTCAACGGACTTAACTTCGCTCAGTTTACGCAGTGGATACGCGTATGAGAGTTCGATTACAAAGTAAAAACACAACGGAAGATACCAGACCCAACATCCAACACAATGAATACGAGGGTCAAAAAAATAAGCTCTGCTAGCCCAAGGTTACAGCTGTGCAGAAGGGCAACTCGGTGCTTCTAATACATACAAAATCATTAAGTAGAGAATATTCAGAGCTCAATATCAGCGAAGAAAAGCAAAAGAAAGTAAAACATGATTAATCACATGAGACTTGTAACGATCATCCAGTTCTATTAGCTAGGTGCAGTATCCGCATGAGTTGACTCGTAGAGAAAGAATATTCGCGAAAGAACCAGGATCTACGAAGAAAACAATCAGGTCACTACGCTAAATTCAGGTCTAGACCTGAATCGATCCTCGAACATGGGCTACCGAGCCTAGCACATTTGAGCTTTCCTAGACTTGCCAATCTGGAACTTGTCTTCATGAGGAGCGAGAATAGGTAATACCTCACAGTTAGCAGATTTATGTCAGACAGTATCGCTAATGTGAACGAGCTGAACCTAAAACTGATTATGAAATTCATCTCAGGGTGGGTTTCGAATGCCGCAGTGAGCCCTTAGATCATTGAGGGCTCAACTACTAGTTTTGAATATCTATAGAACCTCTCCTAGGCAAGACAACGACACTCGGAAAACATCTGTAATACATCAAAAAGCATCCAGACCGAAACCACACCTAAATCAGGAACTCGAGATATCCACAAGATCTGACTTCACGAATTGCTCAACCTAGAGGAATTTGTTAGCAATTTATCGTGCAACTCGAGGAGGATGAGAGGTACTTCAAGAGGAATGTCGTAAGCTGTTAGCCACTTTGTAAATTGAGGCGAATTACTGTCTGCGTTCATATCCGATTCGATCTTGTCCCACTCGATTGCGGGCATTTGTCCCATCGCTCTGAGGGCAGCATCTCGTCCCTCCTGAGCAGGACCGTCTGGTAGGACGCGGACTTGTAGGTTGTTCTGGCTTAGATTGGCAATCTTCTCGACTCTTGTGCGCCTCAGCTTCTCAAATCCCCGAGTCAAAGCAGGCACATCATCTGGGTGGTCCGGGCGAGCTAGTCGAAGAAGGTGTGTTAAAACACCTGTGCTTTCGATACCTTGGCTGACGCCTTGAGCGGCATGCGGCACCATGGCATGGGCCGCGTCGCCGATGAGCAACACTCTCCCGTTTGAGCTCTGCCACGAAGGTGTCTGCGGTGCTGTTCCGATGCGCCAGACGTTGCAGCTTTTCACATGCTCTAAATACGCGCGATCTCGGGCCGAGAAGTCGTTGAAGAGTTCGCGTAGTTCCGATGGCTCTGCCGGATTGTACCAGCTTGCGTTTCTATCAGTTGGAGGCGCACCGTAGTTCGACACGACATTGTAAGCTGCAGTTTTCCCCTCGGCCACGGGTTCTATCAACAAGACATTAACCCGGCCTGGCCCAAAGGTAAAGTGACAGCTTCCAGGGTGCTCAAACATCCCAGTCAGACGAGTATCGGCACGCAGCTCATTCAGGTCAACATCTGAGTGGAAAATGACCTCGTTTGTCGCTATTGCGTCCATGTTCTGGTCTGGAAATAGCAGTCTTCGAATCTTGGACTTGATGCCATCAGCGCCGACAATCAAATCAGCACTGTACTCCCCTCCATCCTCCGTTCGGACAATAGGAGTGGTCTTGTTCTCGAGGCTCGTCACTGTTTTTCCGAACAATACTGTTGCGCCTGCAGCTACAGCGCCCTCATAACCGACCTTTTGTACCGTTTGTCGATCGGTACTGAGGGGTGTGTGGTTGGGGCGATGGGGGCTCACAAGAAGTGGCTCGCTGGTGTCCTTATAGGACCAGATGATGGACGGACCGGCTACTCCTATAGACTGGACGGCATCTCCCAACCCGAAGCTCTCCAACACTCGAATGGCAGGTGGTTGGACATAGATAGGGCCGCCAGTAACTTGTAATGAGGACTGTCGCTCTAGCACAGTGACGGAATGGCCGTCTTTTGCAAGTCCTGTTGCCAGAGCAAGGCCGACAGGGCCAGCACCAACGATGATGATACGGAGGGCAGTCTTTGCCGCCATTTTGAAACGTAGGCTTTTGCACGAGATAGTATTAACGGAAATGGGTGGTGATTAGTTCGAATGGTCATATCGGGGCTGCGTTGCTGGCGCTATTTATCCTTCGCTCTGTGGGTTTTGAAACATGGTTCTAGGCTTGGTGGATTAGGAGAACGGGTCTCCAAGGGTTAAATCCTTGGAAAGCGGGCGACTAAGGACGGTGCTCTAGCTTAGCAATATGATCATGAGCCTAAACTAACTAGCAACGAATCGTTAATAAATAGTTATGCGTGAAGTGACTGGCATATGCAATAGTATCCTTATGTGATCGCAAGACTTCGAACCGGTTAAGATCCCCTGGGAGGAGCCCAGGCCTTGATAGCCTTGTGTGAGATGCTTTCACGAAGAAGAGAGTGATGGACTTTGGTTTTGTGGATTGTGCTTTCTGTACCTCTAATCGTTCAATATCAACCTCATCTATCTTTCTATATGTACTTAACATCTGCTTGGGGCAAGGAAGTCAACGAAATGCAAAAATGGTCAACGCATTTGTTCTTTCTACCGATATCTGGCATCACAGCAGTCATAGCGCCGACACATTCTGGCAAAGGCCGTTTACTTTGCTTCAATAGTTCTATCACTAAGTGTTATGAAAACACATATAGCCCCGAATGTCATCAATACCCAAATACATGCCTCGGCGTAATCCTTCATATGCCGTTCGTCCCTGGTCTGCTAGTAAAGCCAACTGCCGATGTCATTTTCTACCCAATGTGGCAATATCGTGCGCAAACCCTGCTCTGTTTTATCGCCATCTGCCGGGAATTACCGCTGTAGCTGAAGCGGTATTCGCTATTGTGGATCTAGCAGTGTTACGATCCCTGGCCTACCTTGCCTACTTCATTCATCAGCCGCTTGGAGCGGCTCACCGACACAAGCTGACCACGATCAGCAGCGGCGGCAATAATCGACCCATTTACATGTCTTCAACCTCTAGAGCCTTCCGCTTTCAGCAAAGCCACGTTTCACTTGTCCGGAAAGGATTCGCTCATGATTCACTCAAGGCATGAGGCATCGGAGTTGTGTTGCCTAAAGAGGACCCAATATGAACTTGCTGATTCACGAGTTCCGGAACATATTCGCAACAACTCGATTATTAGCGCATTAAAAGTTAGTTCAGGTCAAGCAAACTCGTATGTCAACGGCCAGGACTAGATTAGATTGACCATGGACATGAAGAACCTGCGAGCCCGAGAGGTGGTGGTTGGTAGAGAACCCCTGCCTGCAAGTCAGCATCAAAGTAAGCGGAACTCAACTCTGTATCCCTGTCAGCAGTCAGCACTACTGAGTCTCAAAGTAAGCAACACTTCGCTATCCCTGCAATTTTTTGGAGTGAGAGACGGCCGAGGAATCCAGGTCATTGTTAGCTTTCTCCTGTAGCTGTCATATGACGTCTGCACGGTGCCGAGGAGCGAGACGGTGAGCGTAGCATTTTTCTCCATGGCGCCAAAGAAACTTAATAAATAGAGGGGGAGGACGAAATAATAGAGCGATCCCTGTGGCACGTCTTAGGCTTATTGTTGAAGTCACGGATAATCGGAACTCGATGAAGAGGGGTAATTATGGGACTGTTGGGCCGTTTAAAAGGCACAAGGAGAATCTGGTTCTATGATAGCTCATCAGATTTGTTGAAAACCCGATCGAAAATAGAAAAGAATGTTTTACAAGACAGAAGAAAACAACCACGGCCTTCCGTATGATCCTTTCAAGGTTGGCAGTGACATTTCTTGAGATTGGTGAAAAACTTCCACCAACTGACGCTAAAAACAGGCCTGTGTTGTCCCTCGGCCCATAGGATGGATCTCAACGGTATCTGCAGATGGAACACACAATCTTGCACCATTCAGTCAGTTCACCAACGTCACTTATGACCCACCAATGGTGATATTCAGTGCCAATAATGGCCTGGGGGGTGGAAGAAAAGATACAGTGAGCAACATCCAGGCAACCAAAGTTTTCTGCTGGCAGACCGCGACCTATGCTTTGCGCGAAGAAGTCAATAAGACGGCCGAAATGCTTGCGCCCGAGGTGGACGAGTTTGAAAAGGCCGGGCTAGAGAAGACATGGTCGCAAAGCCTCAAAACTCCAGTTCCCATGGTGGCTGCCTCACCAGTGCGATTCGAATGTGAATACGTCCAAACGATTCAAATCCCAGGAAATCCGCCGTTTGGTACCGTTGACCTCGTCATAGGACGTGTTGTGGGCGTTCACATCGACGAATCTGTGTTGACGGATGGCAAAGTCGACATAAAAAAGACAAACCCTATTTCGCGGCTTGGATATTACGAGTACGGCGTGATTGGCGAAACGTTTGAAATGGTGATTCCTGGTGATAAGGCAATCCTAGCTGGGGTGAGTAACTTCAAATGCTGCATGATGTATTATGAGAAAAACATCTAACTCTCGAACTAGCTTGAGGGAAGCCCTGTGAAGAGCAGAGAGGCCGTTAGTGATAGAACCGACGGGGAAAAGGATAGAAATACCACTGAGGGTGCAGGCAACTAGATTAAGACATATAGCTCCGGCTGGGGTCATCAGTGTCTCCTTTTATACATTTCTCAAATAGAAGCCAATGTCCACAAATAGAAATCTAGGTCCGCAGAATATTCGTTCTAATCACCTAACTCCAAGTGAGCTCGGCTTTCAATGTTGACGTTTTGCAGGATCCGGCAGAGGTTACTAGCTTTTGGAATAGCCCAAACTTACATATGATACTGGCCTGCATTATCCTCATAAATCTTAGGACTAACCTTAAAGCAAGTGTCCGGCCCGGCATGGTGACCCATAGTTCAATGGTCTTGAGTTGCTTGCTGATCTTCTTGGTCAGGAAATGCTAAACCCCAACATAGTCCTAGCATCTGTGTGCCGCAATTAGTCTGATGGGGAAACCAAAACTTATTTTTTTGGCTTTCCTTCTTTCAAACTTTTACTTTCCAAGGTGCCTTTCTTATTAACAGAGAGGGCTTCGTCGTCTCCCTTTCCATTCAGTAACAGCAAGCTCAATGGGTATATAATAATCGCCCAACCCTTGTCTATAACTTCAAGTAATGAAGCCGCTCCACAGAATATCATCAAATCACAACTAGTGACACGCGATTTTATGCTTGCCGATATTCCTTGGTGAGAAACTGCTATGCCTGGTCCAAGCAAGAGAGCAGGAATCTGTGTCTGCGATCCTGCCATGCAAAATCTACGGCGTACTCGCGATTGAGGCATAGGTTAGTCCAATGTACGCCAATAAAATGGTAACATAAAGCCGGGAGGACTACAGCAGTAATTCAAAGACACGACAGCGAAGAGATGATGGTGCAGCTTCGGCGATGTGCGTGTTACCAAACCAATCCTTTCAAACAAAGGGAAACCCAGACATTGTAATGAAACTATGCCTAGACTCTCCCCCTCCACTGAGTCCATTTGACGATTTACTGATGATGGAGCCTCCGAGATTGATAAACATATTAAAGAGTACATCAATGCTTTCATAGATAGTGCACATACTATTTACTTCTCCCCACTCTTCATCATCCAGTCACTTCGTATTTATGTTGACTGAGATCTCATCTTGTTTCTGCAACTCTACTTGGGCGGCCTTCGGTTTTCCTTTCGCCGATTATGGAATGAAAGTAAACTCAAACTTCCTTGTTTAATAAACATCAAAGAAAATAATTGAAGATGCGAATTCAGTGCATTGGTTGCGCTTATTTGTCCGGGTAGTTCTAGTGCAGCTATTAGAGGGACTAGTATTTGATTCGCCGCTGCACCTGACTCGCTGCGATCGAGATATCTTGTTGTTTCGCTATGGAGTAGTTGGGCCACGCTTAAGAGATCCAATATATCATCTCATACTAGCGATTCAGTCTCTTTAGGCAGTGGACTGACTTGCTGTCCCATTGGGCGGCCAGCGGCTCAGCCCAGGACCCAGAAGAGATATTCTAGTACTAGGCAGTCAGTCGGTCGATCCGAGGATTAAACCCCACATTCTCTCCAGACTAGGCATCAAACATCAAGTAATATCTACCACGAAGGAGATCATGGAACATATCAGAGCTTCAGAGGTTAGAGTATCTATTAGTTTAGGTTTAGCAGTTATAAGCGGCCAAGATGTCAAGCAGGTGGGCAAAGCCTAAAGGATAGCGTCGATATAATCAAGAGAGTCCGAAAGCCTGCCTCTTAGGGGACCTATAATAGCAAATAGGGCTCTAGTGACTACTTGGTCTCGCCTCGGAAGAATATCAGTTGAGACATCATTAAATCAAAGAATGGCGACTAGATTATATCCGATCATTTAGTTTAAGGGTCGTTTTGCGGCAGGTAAAAAGGTCTATGGTCCAAGCCTTCCTTGGCATTCTTGCAGACAAAATTTATGAGTAACTACATTGTGTGTGTGTGTGTGTGTAAGAGTGAAAAGGGTAACACAAACAGACAGAGAATATCCTTCTAAGAAGTAAGCACTTGGAGAGAAGTATGTATAGAATCTAGCTTGAGTGTAGGTTAGTGAGTGACTGTTGTTGGTGGTCACGCGAGCTAGATGGATAAGTGCGAACGGTGGGCCTCTCAAAACTAACCTGAAACTGGAAGCTCAAGAGATCGAAAGTTGACCAGTGGATGCTACTGCCAGCAGGGTGAGACGCTACCCCTGCTAAGCTCAGCTTCGAGGCCTTTAGTTTGGTTACAGCGTCTATTTCAGGTGATGATCCCCACCTAACAGTTCATCCTTGTCAGGAGGCTCATCCATAATGCCGCGAGTCATGGCTCGATCCGGTATCACACGCACCAAATGCCGTACTGAGGGTCCCTACGGCCTGTGCAGGTTCCATTACCTTCCTGCTATCATTAGCTACAATGCTGGCTGGTGTTTTGGTGTAGAGGGGCTTCACGCTGCTATTTCCAGACGATCTAACGCACAAGCAATTATGAGGAACTCGATCCTGTGGTTGGCTACTTTGCGATTTCTGGGCGCAAATTTAACTACTTCTTGTTATTGTTTGTATTTCCAGACTTAATTTTATCCACTCGTCTTCTGCTTCTATTCTTCGGTCTTTTTTTTCTTCTTTCCTTTTTCTTTTGTGGTTTGCTACTCCGTTTCGCAGTTCACCCCTGATTCCTGTTGCTCGCTGGCGGTTGACTTGAATCATGAGATTTTTTTTACCTTCTCTTCTTTTCGCAATTTCGTTGGCCCAAGTAGAAGAGCCTGACAATTTGGACCAACGTGGCCTAGATTATGTCCCGGAACCGGCCTCGAGGGGTGAGGTGGAATACGAAGATGTCTTTGAAAGACAGCCCAAGCCATTGCTGTCCAGGCGGAATGTCGAAGCGATCCTAGTCCACCGCGCTGCAGCTAAAGCTACTTCCACAAAGAGGATTAATGCTCAATCGAAACCTGGTATTAAGAAGCCCACAGCACCCAAGAAAGATACCACCCCCAAGAAGGTACCTGCGCCCAAAAAAGCTGCTTCCAAGCCCAACGCTGGAAATAAGAAAGCTGCCCCTAAGAAGGCTCCTGCTCCTAAGAAAGTCGCTACTTCGAACAAGGTTGCTACTCCTAAGAAAGCTGCCCCCAAGAAAGCTACTACTCCAAAGAAGGCTGCTACCCCTAAGAAGGCTGTTCCGGAGAAGGCTGCCCCCAAGAAGGTTGCTTCGAAGCCCAACGTTGCTACTAAGAAAGGTACTCCTAAAAAGTCTTCGACTTCCAAGAAAGGTGCTGCTCCCAAGAAAGCTGCATCTAAACCCAAGACTGGTACTAAGAAGGCTTCTACCCCAAAGAAGCCCGCCTCCCCAAAGAAGAAGAGCCCCGCGGCTAAGAAACCTGCTTCGAAAACAACAAAGGGGAATGTTGGGACTAAGCAGCCCCAAGGAAAACAAGACGCATGCAATTCTAAGAGAGGTCTCTTTTCGGGATGGAAATCGTGCAAAAAGCCATCACCTACCAAGAAAGCTACCAAACCCCAAAAACCTGGCCCGACCGCAAAGCCTGCAGCCCCGAAACCTACTGTCGGTCCAGCGGCACCCGCTGCACAAGGAGGTGCACCCCCTAACAACAGGCCTACGGGTTTAAGAAAGCCCGGTCAAGGGATAGCCGCAGGCCAACGGCAACCCGCAGGTCAAAGAAAACCTGCTGGCCAAAGACCACCTGCTGGCCAGAAACAACCTGCTGGTCAGAAACAACCTGCTGGTCAGAGTCAACCTGCTGGTCAGAAACAACCTGCCAATCAAGGGAAGCCCACTGGCAAAAGGAAGGCCACCCATACTCCGAAGCCAAAGCCCCCCAACGTACACAAAAACCCCGGTGCCATAAAACTCGAGCAACTGGCCCGACAAAAGGGAGCCAAGCTCGAGCCGGGACATTCGTACGCAATCAAACAAAAGAACACTGCGCTCTTTGGGCATCAAAATGTTGCGGTTGTTGACTACTCTAAGCAGAAAATCGGCGACATGGACCATTACAGGGCGTCTGGTAAGAGGTTTGACCTCCACATTGGCTCGAAAAAGGGGGACTCCAAGGCCAAAGCAACAGATCCCAACCTTGTCGACGGCGTGATGGGCACAAAGCCCGGGTTGCCACCGATTTACTCCAAGCACCGTGCTTACGTTGAGGCCCATAACTGGAATCCTCACCACGCCGCCTATCAGTCGGGTAGTGAATTCCTAGGCGAGGTCCACGAGCAGTACAAGAACCCCGATAATGTGCTGAAGGAAGCCGGTAAGATTTTAACTGGTGATCCCAACCGTCAAAGTGGCGGCAGGTATAATATTCTCAGCGGTTGCGTCAAGTCGCGTGGGAATAATTGCAGAACCTTGGCCGATAAACTTGGCAACAACATCACAAAGAAGCCTTGACGAGCTCAATTCGGCTTCGATTGAGAAACAGGACAATGTATCTATTTCATGTATATAATACACGGGTTACAGAATATATAATTCATTCAGCTGCTATAGTCCTAAACTAGTGAACCAGTCAACCTTGACAGAGGCAGACAGCCAGTAAATAATCTTCTTGCTTGATGTCCATAAAGAGGAGGCATTGCAACGGGGTGACTTGTGTGTAGAGTGCATACATGTCTGTCGATGAAGTTGTGGTAAGCTTTTCTACGTGCAAAATATGTAGACTCTCTCCCCACCAAGCTAGACACTGTCCTCTATCTCATCTGCATAGCAGAATCGTACACCTCCATCAAGTGGTTCGGGCAAGCCTCAGTCATAAAAGCAGTTAAATATTTAGATATACCTTGCGTCGTTTTCATAGACTTCTATCTCCTTACTAGTGGCGTAATCAACACCCTAGCTACACGTTAACACCTATTTTATGCAGCGCGATCTTTACGTAGAATCATGCTAGAAGCCAGCACAGAAAGGATACACACCTCAAGCAGCTCATCTATCCGCTCCGCTAAATCGGTAAGCAACTGAGCGAAGGTCAATCAGCGGGTCGCCAGAAGGCTCGATGCCTTCAACCTTCGGGACAGGATCGAAAAACTCAAGATCCTTCTGTTCCTCATCGCTGTTCGGCAGTATAGACTCGAGAGTCACTACCCCCAGCTTTACCAACTTACGTGTCTCCGGCCAATGCACCGTGCAATCGTCGGTCACGTCGCCAGTCTCAGCAATCTGAGCCAAGAGCTCATACTCAATGGGTCCAGTCTCGAGCTTTTTCACCAGCTCGTCATAAAGGTAGTTGGGTGGCTTCGAGGCTGCCTCCTTCTCGTCCAGGTGGAAGACTCCATCCTTCGGCACGATGCGGTATCGGATATACGTAACCTTATGATCCTTTCCGACAAGCTTGAATGCATTGATGCTGAAGAACTGCTGCGTTGCAAAACTAGACGGGAACGGCTTCGGTGCGTTTATGAACGCAGCAGCGGCGGGGTGAGTGCGAATAAATTCCTCCACTTTTTTTGCAGCAAGCGCGCGAAAGAAACCAATAACGTCTGGTACGTTCCCGGCCGGGAAAAAGGGAGTAGAGACGGTAGCAATGTCTGTTTTTTCACGACGTGGAAATGAGCTCAGGAGGAAACGCAACGCCAGCCCGTTTTGGTTGTTTGCCGGATCAGCGTCCAGTTGGGTAGGGACTCCACCAGAGTTCGAGAGTCTAGCGATCACAGATGTTGAACGGCGGCGGAAGTGTGGTGCTGTCGAGAGAGACGATGCTTCGGATGTAGGGTTAAATGTTCCTCGAAGCAAAATGCCTTTAGCATGGACTAGAATTGTTGTGTGTTAGCAATACTGTCGAAGGGAAACGTACGATATACGTGAATCAACCAGCTCTGAAACCAGGGTGATAGCCGAAGATATCGCGGAAAAGGTCCACGACCTTTTTGGCGTCTTCATCATTTCCTTTAGTTGGGGTAGACATTTCGAGAGACATTCTCCTTATGGTGTCAGTTGTTCTTGGATCAAGTCCGCTTGAGTTGCTCCTAATCAAATGAACAACCGGCCACCTTTTATATTGCTCAATTCATCGAAATCCACCGCTTCTCTAACTTGTATGAAAGTCTAACAGAACACTTCTACCGAAGATAGCTCCCCTAGATGACAATTACATTTAGTGCAATATCGGCGGAACCTTAGTCGTCAAGACTCTTTCAAGGGAGTCGTAAAGGTAATCGTTGATGTCTCTAGGGGATCAGTTGGCACTCTCACTCAGCTGATCCGTCGACGTCGAACAACCTCCTAACAGGTGACCAAGGCGATATTACCTAAAATGGCTACTCGGAATACTCTGTGAGTCTGCCCTCACCTTCTGCTTGATTTGGCCATATCCTTCAATTGTGTTAGCCTTCATCTAGCTCAAATCGATATACGTGAGCCGGATTACCGGTAAGCTTATCGAAAAGGCCCAATTTCGCAAGCTCGAGAGTTTGGACCTGATGTAAAAAGTATATCGAACGAATACCAAGTCATTAATCACTGTGTTGACAAAGAGAATGAATCAATGCCTCCTTATCTATATGATGCTTCGGCTTACCCATTTCGGAACTCTTATCTCAGCCGCAGTGGCGCTGAAGTTCAGAATATGCAATTATGAAAATGTGCTGCGCCTTGCAGAATGCCTTACCGCCGGATTCGCTCCCCCGCTTGGGCTTATCTCAATCAACGGAACAGTTTCATGAGCGCCTAGGTCATATCACGAAGTCTTTCTGCCGACACCCCACCCCAATCAGTAATGAATGAACATTGAGAAAGTAAAGAAAGAGCTCCATTTTATGGAAGGATGCTGTGGACCGCTCACAAAACCTACTCTCCCCAGCTGAGCAAGAAGCATATGGGAAGTGTGAACCTAAGGACATCCTGATGGATTTTCAATCATATATGCTTCAACAGGTTCATTTGAACAAGTTCCATGTCTTCTGCGAGCAGATAGATCCTCTCCTGGCTATCATTGAGTGCCTTGGAAGATCCATGAGTATCGCGGCAGATATGCTCTCACCAATCTGGGTTTCTATCCGTATCATCTTCCAGGTATGTGACACTTGGCGCCTGTTAGAAATGAGATCGCTCTAGCCACCATCTAACAATAGTCAGATCACGAGAGGCTACAGAGCGTGTTTCAAACAGATCTTGGCCCTGTTACAACGCATCGGGCAATCATTACCAAGGTTTCTAATTTACGAACATCTATTCCCTAAGCATGAACCTATTCAAATCGCTATACTTTCCATATACGTTGCTGTCATCAACCTCCTTGCGTCCGTCCGAGCTGTTGCTGAAAAGTCGACGTTTCGGCTGGTATTTTGTGTCTTCTTGAATCCTTGGGAGAAAAAGTCCAGTGAATGCATATCTCATATCAGTGATCAGAGCGAGCTAGTCGAGCGCGAAGCCAACGTGGCGCATTTGCAGGAAGAGGCTCGGACAAGGGCCGAAGTGAGGCGTATCCAGGCCAAAGATTCGCTAGACAAGGCGAATAGATGGCTGAACGCTCGACAGTGCCATGAGGCAAAAGACTCAATCTGCCTTACTCAAGGCATGTGTCAATGGATACTCTCCCGGCCGGAACTTTCCCAATGGATCTCAGATGACAACACTCAATTATTCTGGATCGAGGGACCTCCAGGCTGTGGAAAGTCAACACTGTATACTAAGATAGTCGACTATCTGGATTCAAACTCAGAGAGAGCTTGCGCTTATTTCCTTTTTTGTGGCGCAGACCGAGAGCGGGTGCAACTATCTGCTCTCCTAAGGTCATGGACTTCTCAGTTGTCCAATACCTCAACCGAAACTCGAGAATACTTAATCGAGACATACTCCAGAAGCGACAACCATCAGGCTTCTAAAACAGAAATAGAAGACCTATTCTTTTCCTTTCTGGATATTTTACCCCCCTTGTATCTTACATTCGATGCATTTGACGAGTGCATAGAACGTGATGAGTTTGCAAGAGTCCTACAATCAATTCCTCAACGTCATAAAATACTCATCACGACGCGCCAATGCTATTATGGCAAGCAGGTATCCGATGTGAAATCAATTTCGTTGGAAATAAAACCTGCGATGACAAAGGAGGATATTCAAAAGTATATTCTGTCAGAAACAGAAACCATGAAGAGGGAGTTTGAACCCCAGACCGTGGCTCTAATACGGAATCGCCTCTCCATGTCCAATGGGATGTTCCTATGGGTCAAGCTTATGGTGCAACATATCAGAGACCAAACGACGAATGAGGAGTTGATGCACTGCCTAAGCGAACCTCAACTCCCGGCCAGTTTGTCAGAGCACTATGACCGCATCATGAATAGCATCAACCAATTCCCACAGTCTCGCAGGTTACTTGCTCATAAAATACTTTTCTGGGTTGATGTTGCACGTCGGCCTTTAAGAGCTGCTGAGCTGTTTCACCTACTCACTATTTTGCCTTCTGCTGATCGTGAGGGTGGGTATCGACCGTCCCGGTATCCTTCCGGAGACCCCGAGGCCACGATTCTATCCGTATGTGGTTCTTTGATCTCATTACGCGGGAAGAGCAAAGTGTTATACCCAATCCACTTCACTGCCACTGAATACATTCGGCACTATCTCAAGAATAGCAATACACTGAGTGAATTGACGGTGTATTACGAAACGCGCCAAATCACTTCGGCAAATGGTCTTGCGGCTGCAGTTTGTCTTCGCTACTTGTCACTTAATATTCCGGTAAAATCACAGAGAATTCTTTGTGAGTCTGCCGATCAAGATGTCGCATGCTTTGGTGGTATGTTAGTTGGATATACCAGAAAATACTGGCAAGCCCATTTGGAAGCCGCGGATTCCAAGGAAGACCCACCATTGCCCAGTCTTATGGAACAACTGGATTGCGAATAACAACCACTCAGCGACTAGGATTTGGGTCACATCATAGAGAATAGAAAATGTAATGGCTCGCTCAGGCTTCGATTTTGTTTTGCGGGTCGGCCCGCATCTAAGGTAGTTCTTATTTAATGGAGAACGACATACGAGTGAATTTCAGTTAAAATAAACCCACTAAATAATACGCCAGTCTCAAACTTACCTTGACCGATTTCAGATCGCCAATGTTCGCCAAGACAAACGTCTTCCATGCGATGATGACCGAGGTAGCGAATTACGTAGGATGAACTTCCTGGATGACTAACAAGCTGCATATTGTTGTGGCGAGGGAATTTTCGACTTACGCTGATCAGCTGAGCCCAACGCGAACCCCTCTTCCACCACATAACCTCGACTGCACCCGCCAGTCGATTCCATTCGCCGCATCTTACCATTATGAAATAGGGCTGCAGTTCTCGAGCGCGATGTCCAAAGTGTACAGGGCGACGAATTTGCCTGGGCACGTAGATCGCCTAGGAGCTCTAGAACTCCTCGCTGAGTGCGTACCGGGTATCACACTTAATGATATTGAGCTTGGCTCACTGGCAACTACCATTAATCCATGGGCCCTTGCTCCAACGAAAACAGCAACTTTTACACTCAAGATAATACCTGCAGCCATAATCGAGGATCAAAACAGGACCGAATGGGTTTTTCCCGCCGCTGGTCTTGTTCGCCCTATAGTTCTCGATACCCACTTTTATGGCCTAACGCCATTAAATGAAGTGGAAGAAACCATCCACACTGATGAGTAAATCAATTCTATGAATAAGATTATTAGTTCAAGATTTGTCTAACTGGGAACAAGTTGCATTGTGATATCCGGGCTTGCCAGCCATCCGTTAGGATCATGGCAACCACGAGGCCAAAGATCCTTTATGTGGATTCGAGACTCATTGCCAGCTAGGCTTCCTGGAGTGAGATTTATCTTGTATGGATACGACAGCAGGCTTGTTGGTAGTAAATCATTTCAAGTGATTCCAGACCTGGCCATATCATTCATCAATGAACTTAGAGCAGGAGGCTGGGGTACACAATCACCAAGATCATTGCTGTTTCTGGCCCACAGCCTGGGCGGTGTGATACTGAAACAGGCAATGGTTATGCTGGCTGGAGGTGGAGAAATAGAGCGGCAAATGATTAATGGCATCAACGGAGGAGTCTTCTTTGGGGTGCCCAGTATGGGAATGGAAGTATCAGATATCTGTCAGATGCTGGACGAGCAGCCTAACAGAGCACTCGTTGATAATCTTTCAAACCGGTCAGACTATATTCCAGTACTGGAAAAACAGTTTGAGGGTATCTCATACGTTCGAGATATGGTGCTTATATGGGCCTATGAAACAGAGCAGACACCCAGTCTCCTGGTAAGAGAACTCCTTCCCATTATGTCATCTCAATTTCCCTAGTTTGCATCCTGTCTCTGAGACTGACAAAAGTTCAGCATTCTGATGGGAATTGGGGCAGATCAGGCCCAGGAAGCGTCATGGTCTCACCAGAGTCAGCCACGGGAGGACGGTACCCTTTCCACATCAAGAACGCTCTTCACATTAACCACGACCACTCGAGCATGGTGAAATTCAAATCGAGCGACCGTGAAATATCGATCTTGGCTTTAAAAATCAAGGAAATTATCCAAAATGGTGGATCAAATGAGAAGAGGAAGAACGGCACATCACAACAACCGCATAACCGGCTTGCTCATAGATCAATTATAGATCTGGAAGCAGTAGTCACAAAGGGCCTAACATATGATGAGGTTCAATTTAGTAAGGGTACATCTGCACAAAGGGGGGTTTAAAAATTGGGGTTATACTTGCTAACGATGCAGCAGTTCTAATCAAATCTTTTGCGGCACCCAAAAGGAACGAGAGGCTAGAGGAGATCGACAAAAACGTGGATCATACCTTCAATTGGGTTTTTGACCACCCGTCCATTGGGTTGTCGTCATGGCTATTGAAGGGAGAAGGGATGTTCTGGATAAGCGGGAAGCCCGGTTCCGGTAAATCTACCATGTTGAAGTTCCTCTGGAGCGATGACAGGGTCGCGCGGTTGCTCAACTCATGGGAAGCGAGCGAGAACAAGGTGATTGCGAACTTCTTTTTCCATTATCGAGGTACTCTTGCCCAGAAATCATTCGAAGGTCTCCTTAGGAGTATCCTAAGTCAAATATTGGAGGCAGAGCCGAAGTCTTGCATTTTCCTCAGAGAAATTGTAGAAGCCACTTTCCCAAAATTGGTGACACCCTGGAAGCCGCGCGAAGAGGGGAAGGAGGTGTCCAACTCGCAGGATCCGGAATGCGACGTGGAAATTTTTCAAATACCTGCGGACGCTTGGAATCAGAGATTGCTCCAGGACTGTTTGAAGGCTATTATGCTGCAGAACGAAATGGACATCGATATCTTCTTCCTCTTCGATGCCCTTGATGAATATGATGGACCGCCAGAGTTTATCGCACACTTTCTGAAGCAGTTGGTCAACACAACGTCCCGCACACGCGTCAAGATTCTCTTCTCCAGCAGACCATGGACAATCTTTCAGGATGAATTCAAGTCGTGCCCTGGCTTTGAGATTCACAAATTTACAAATAAGGACATACGCCAGTACATACTCAACTTCATAACCGCGCAGACACGTGGAGAGGAAGCTCTTCTAGATCTCGCAGAGGACATTGTCCTCCGGTCGCAGGGGGTCTTCCTTTGGGTCAAGCTGGTTTTACAAGAGTTAGCTCTCACGGTGGCTACATCTATTTCTAACAGTATTGACAGCCAAATACTGGGTCCCAAGTTACGTGAGAAGTTAGAAAAGCTTCCTGATGAACTTGACAAATTCTACGATGCCATCATTGAACGACTCAATGACCTATATCGATGGGAAATATACGTACTTTTGGAGTCCTTGGTTCGTTCCCGTGTTAAAATCATCACGATGGATGCTCTTGAGATATTGGCTCTATCGGATGCGAAAAACGCCGAAGAAGCAACGAGAATATTCGAAAAGAATGTACGGGAGGATGCTTCCGTGGAGAAATTGCCGATTCAGGATATCAAAATAATTTCTGGTGGGCTGATCGAACTCACAGATGATGGAAAATCCTGTTACCTCCAGCTTATGCATCAGACGGTTTATGAATTTGTTGAACGACCACAGTTTCGGCATTCATTACTCGGGCTTCGTGGGAAGATAACCATTCAGAACGGCCATTCTTTCCTATCTACCTGGTATTTCTATCGAAGTATAGCCCACAATCACGAAATTGCGAGCAAGACGACGAGTGGCAACATCACATTTACTGGAAGCGACAGGATAGAGCTCGTTTTTCATGCCAAGGAAGCAGAAAGAACAACCGGAGTAAGCCAGCATAGTATCTTTACTAGTGGTGTGGTTATAGAGGCGTGGCCCTTGCTCATGTTTGCAGTTGCCGTTGGACTTCGCCTACTGGTGAAAGACATTCTAAGTGAGAATGCAGACGCAATTGCCCAGTGTGACAGCGGTCTTCTCCCTGCAATACTTTATTCCCTACAAAAAGGATTTTGTAAGCCGATAGAAGCAATCCAAATGACTTCCGTCATTGTGAAGAACGGCTATAGGACTCGAGAAGACTGGGACGGGATTCTAAGCCTCTTTCACCAGATCTGGGAGAAGGGTGGCGGAGGACTCGAGAAGCTTTCCCCTCCAAGTGGGTATAGGATAAACAGCTTCGAACCTCAAGATCGTGAACCCGATCCGATAGATTGCGCAACTTGTATCGCCCTTGTCTCAGAAGCTCTCAAAGGACTTGGGGACGATAATAGTCTGGGACGTGTGGGAAACAATCCCCCAAGCGGCAAAAGCCCGCTCCTCCATAGAAGCCCGCCGGAACTAACGAGCAAACTATTACTGTCGGGAGCCGACCCTAACATCATTGACCCAACAGGATACACGGCCCTTGACGCATTCCTGGAAAGCATATCTATTACTGGCCGGGGGCGGGGGTATAGGACGGACGACGCGACATACGACGCTTTCAAATCATTCATCACACATGGTGCAATTCTTAATATGCAGCAGCAGGAGTTGCCATATGATTCATTGGTTGAAGATTTCAAAAGCCTATCGTACCCAATTGATTTTGTAAAGGATCATGGTTTTCCAAAATGGTCAAACGAGACTCGGGAAGTAGCGTCGTTGCAGGAACAATCATCACCTCAGCAGGGTATACGAAAGCATACTCATTCCGCGAGTATACAAGTCAGGAGGGCAGTTAGAAAGCTCAAAAATCTCATGAAATAAGGCTCTACCGAGGGATTAAGGCAAGGAGAGGGTTTTCCATATTACAAGCACAAAAGCGCCCGGGCTCTTCAGTCTGATGTTATGCATTATCTTGATTCCTATTCATTCTTTTAAGAATACTACCGTTGGAATTTCCATCATATATCTGGGTTGACTGAAGCAAGATAATAGCAGACTTGAAGTATTTACAACGATAATTCTTTCCTTATATATATCATTATGTAGACTATAATTTATTACATAGCAACCGTAGGAGATTAGATCGAAAGTCAAAACAAAGAAGATGTCAGACCCAACAAACTCAATACAATGAATACGAAATGTCAATAAACGAAGCTTTGCAAGCCCAAGACTGCAGTCATACAGCAGAAAATTCTTTGAACCTTCATACCGATGACCCACTTGCCGTCAGGACGAGCTGCACGTCAAATGACTATTAAAGCTGCCCTCGTTACCCAGATTACATAGCAACAAATAGCCAACAGACAGTGTCTTCCTATACATTAGTATCTAGATTTCTTTTTATGTGTCTATCTCTAGCTGTCTGCATTACGTACTGTCAATGGCTGAAACATGTCAACATGAAACTTGGACATAGCATGTTTATCAAGTCGTTTAGGATTCTCACCTTTTATTTAGAAGAAAAGAAAAACAAACGCATCGGGCAGAATATCCCAATCTGTCTGTCAAAGCTTATGCATGACTAAAGACCTCACTCAGCGAGATCAATAACCAGCATTTCAGAGGGGTTTCAAAAACTCAACAGCCTATGGCTTCTCGTGGTAAGCCCACCACGATGGCTACATTCATATTTCAAGCAAATGCGGCTCAGGTGCAGCTTTCTCCCACGTGATATAAAAAAAATCGAGAAAGCCTATTTTCGTTTCTTACCACCCTTCCCAAAGTGAAAACCAACCTTGTCCCCTTCTCAGCGTTTCTACTAGCATGTAGTTCCGGAAAAGTTTGTTTACTCATGAAAAGACAATCACAAAGTCATCCTAGATAATCAATTTTGGTACTATTCCTCACCACGATGGGATATTGCTTCAGCCAACCTTCACGGGCTCAGCGCAGGCAGCGCCCTCCGACCAACCAAAACTTCCATGTTATCTCATAGAAGTTCACCCGCCGAAACAACACAAAATCACGATGAAAGTAGTGGCGACGATAAACAGCCACAGGGCAATATACCACAATCCTACTTCGGTCCCTTTTTAAGTATCCGGCACACGGACGACGTTGAAGAATCAATCAAAACCCATGCATCAGCCTTAGCGACACTGCAAAAGGATGATCCAGAGTACTTGATACATATTCATCAGCTTGGAGAAAGCTACTTTGATCGATACAGCGTCATTCACACTCTCAGGGACTTGGAACAATCGCTGGATTGCCTCGAGGAAGCCTACATGCTCGCAACGCCCAAGTATTCAGGATGAAATAAACTGAGGCGATCTATCGGCTGGGTTTATTACCGCAGCTACGAAAAGGCGAGCTTTGAAGAAAATCTAGAGCTCGCTGTTAATTTGTATGAGAGTTTGGTTGACACTCCTCATGAAGATGAGGAGATATATTTACGAATACTACATGAGCTGAGTCTGATTTACACCAGTTTATATGATCTTTCAGAAGCTCAGATTGCCAATGATACCTCTTCAGAAGAAAAGGATTCACAGGGCATTCTATCCTATGGGAAAAGATATCTCCATCTGGTAATCAAGCATCAAGAGGAGGTAGTCAGAAAGATCAAGGGAGATTCAGAGTTTCACAGCAACGTACTCAATAGCCTTGCGACAAACTATCTTTTTCGGTACGAACTCGAAAATTCTTCTGGGGACTTTGAAAGAGGAATCGAGAAATATGAAGAAGCGCTGAGCATGAGCAAGCCAGACTATCCATCCAGATACACGCTACTCTACGACGCTGGGGAAGGGTACTTTTGGAAATATAAGATATCCAACCGCGACGACGATCTCAATACCACTCTAAAGTATTATCGTGAAGCTTTTAAATTACAGTGGATCTCACCCCTCTCTCTATTTGATGTGGGATACAAGCTCGCCAACGCCTATGCAAAAGTGGAGAAATGGAGGGAGTCTTACGAGACTTTCGTGCAGATGTTAGTATTGGCACCACACTTGTTTCACCGGTCAGCCGAATACTCGGATAAACAAAGATTGATCTTTACAGTCAGTGGGGTGGCATCGATGGCTGCTGCTGCTATCCGAGTTGAAGAGCCGATATACAGAGTCATTAGCCTCCTTGAGCTTGGGCGTGGCATAATCACACAGCCAATGCAAGATATGCGTCACGACCTTTCTCAAGTGAAGGAATCGCACCCTGAGCTTGCACAAGAGTACACTGAGCTTACTGGGCGGCTATCCAAACAAATCCTATCTGGCCCGAAAGACATTAAAGGTCGCTACGAAATGGCGGAGAGGCTAGATGCAGTGATTGGTGAAATAAATACTATTTTAGGAATCTCCCCGTATGCATTTTTCTGTGAGGAAAAGTTCATGAAAATGGCGGAACACGGCCCTGTTATCGTTCTCAACCTTGCAGTTGATCGCTGTGACGCAATCATTCCTGAGAAGTCCCGGTTGCACAATTTGCATCTGCCTGACTTTCGTTCCACTGATGCTTTTCAGATGGCACAGAAAAAGGTCCGTGATTATGAGCTCTTAGAGTGGATGTGGACAACAACGACCAGGCCCATCCTCGACGCTTTAGGGTTTACTTCTACGCCTTCGGATGGAAATTGGCCTCACATTTGGTGGATTCCCACGGAACCCTTTGCTGGGTTTCCAATACATGCAGCTGGATACCACAGCTCAAACTTAGGCGCCACTGTTCTCGATCGTGTTATATCGTCCTACAGCACTTCTTTAACGTCACTCGCTCAGGCGCGTGCAAGGATTTCACGGAGTGAAGGAACGCCTAATCCAAACCAAGTCGTCCTCATCGCGATGGAGAATACTCCAGGTCTATCAAACCTCCTCTTCACCACACAAGAAGTAACAGAAATCGAAGGACTTTGTAACAAAGCTGGACTGTCCGTGACCAAACCGAAGCCATTGAGAGAAGACGTCCTCCGGGCGTTAAGTAATTGCGACATTTCCCACTTTGCTGGCCATGGCCGAACAGAAACGTGCGATCTTATCCGCGGTGCTATCTTGCTCCAAGACTGGAGAGAAAGACCACTGATCGTGGGTGACCTTTACAAAGCTGATATCTCTGGGTCACAACCGCTCCTGGCATATCTCTCAGCGTGCGGAACACGAGAAGTAGCGCAGTATCATTTACAAGATGAAACTATCCATCTCATGAGCTCCTTTCAATTTGCAGGATTTCCGCATGTTATTGGGACCTTGTGGCAGGTAAATGATGAGACGTGCGTTCACATGAGTGTTGGCGTGTACCGACGGATTTTGGACCATGGAATGCGCAGCTCGTCAGTGAGCGAAGCTTTGCATCATGCCAGTCGATCCTCAGAGAGGATTGGGTGAAGAGAAATGATTTTCGTGCAAGAGGCCAACATGTTGGTGACATTTCAGGATCATTTCTCCCCACCCACTCTTCTGTGAGCGAGAATGGTAATCACGATATTGAAACGCTGTGGAGGAATCCCCCATGTATTGGGTTCCTTACGTTCATTATGGACCTTGAAGCCGTATCAGGAAGCTACAGTTTAGCCAGTAGTTTTTTAGCACTTGATAGATCTTGAACATCATGTTGTATTATTTATTCACCTCAAGCTCTTTACACTAGCTACACTATTTTAATTCACTCTAGCTAGGATATTTCAGTACATGGCATGATTTCTTGCTCTATAAACGATCTTCAGAACCTCTTTCCACCTGCTACTCGATTACTTAAGCATTCCACCAGGAACTGGTAATGTACTCTACGTAGTTACCAACCCTAACATATACGCCAGGGTAGTCAGACCTGGCACAGCCGTTTCCCCAGGACACAAGACCAACCACTTCCCCGATGGCCTGATCAATGACAGGACCTCCACTGTCGTAGTCACAGGAACCCTTACCACCTGTGCCGGCACAGAACATGATCTCCGTGATGTTAGAACTTGGATATGCCACCTGGCATTTGTCCCGAGAAACAATTGGGATCGAGACTTTGCGCAACACATCTGATCGTTCAGATCCATCCTCCTCCATATAACCCCTATCAATCCAATCAATATATATTCGAATTCATCGGCGACAAGATTCTGGGATATCTTTACCATCCAATCACAGCATTCGAAGAACCACCGACTGGGTCCGAGCCCTGCGATGGCAAAGTGGCATACCCAATCTATTCCGCTTCGAGAATTGGGTCTGCCAGGTGCACCATGGCCAGATCATTATCAGCCGTTACCAAATTGAAAGCGGGATGGACAGCATAAGAAGAGATGTTGACTTGAATTCCACCAGAGGCCCAAGCCTAGGATAACGTATTAGCCCATTGACGGCTCTCTCTTCTTAGGAAGCAAAAGGGAACATCGGCATAGAAGCAGCATCAAGCTCAGAAGGGCATAGTCTTCTTAACTTACTAGGCTCCCTGCACGAATTTTGATAGCGCTCGTCAGAGTATTCATGACACAATGAGCCGCAGTAATAACAGTGTACGCATTCAACAGCACACCTCCACAATGATGCCCGCTGCTCAGCGATAGACTTATCATATAGGGAAACTCTCCTAGTGCGGCTTCTTCTCCGCCAACGATATCAATTCCCAAATCATCACGCCAATGGGTCCTCTCTGGCAGGCCCAACACAGCAGCGGCTTGAGCTACAAGGAGAATGGCCTGACCAGTCGCCGAATGTTTCATAGCGAACGAAGAATGCTAAAAATAGTTCCTTGGTTTCTGTGAGAAGATTGATGTGAGAAGAACCCCAGATCTGCATCCGGATACCCAGGAATATCCCGTTTATAATGTTCTCAAAAGAACCTCTCATTCAATGGTAATGGGGCATCAAAATGCATGCGATGGTCCCAGCACGGGGATAAATACGTCAATGCGACTCTGACTTCAGATAGATTGTGGCATTCGAGCGAAATCAGCCGACAAACATATCGTATTCAAGCTCTCGAAACCGTCTCCTAGTAAAGATTGTAATCCTTACAGGCTTTACGGGCCAAGATGCCAGGTGTCTTGCGAATCATTCTCATTTATTGCATCCCACACAGCTTTGACCTGCCGAACGCCGAACTTCTGAAGGATTCGTTCGTATTTCTACCAATCATTCTGATTACTTGGCTTTAAATATACGAGATGGCAGGGGTCACATCGGCGGTAAGCAAATACTTCTACTCATTACACTATGCCTAATATTGCCGGCCTCCTCGTGATTATGCCTATGAAAGTATTCAAAGTGGAAAATGAGATTCGCGTTTTATTCTATCAAAAGCCATTAGGCATGACACCCTAATTTTATTCACTCTAACATCCTAGCATGCAGACACGAGATCTTCCCCCGGTCTTAGACGATGTGTTTATGCCATGACAAGATTTTCTTGGGCACTATTGTAGCTGAGCCATGAGATCTACATGTCGGGTTTCCATAGACCATTATTTCAATCCTAGATCACTTACAAGTAACAGCATTCAATTTCTCTATTGAACTGAAACCCATTTGCCTGAAAAGGCTAACGGCTTCATCTCCAGTGCCTATGGCTCACTCTACTCATCTCCATTTTTTTATGTACTCCGAACAATGCGGGTCGCAAAGGCGAGTAGAGAAATTCGAATGGGACAAGTTGACCTCATGTTTGCTAGTCTACATTTGGATGAAAAGAAGAATGACATGTTCTATCGATCTAAAGTGAAATCTACCATCGTTCTAGTTATCGGCGTGATCGTTTGAACGGCTCTTCGATCTCCTGTCCTCATCTAAGCAAGGAATGCATCCAAGCCCTAGTTCCCAGCCTCGGTGTAGTAGCAGCTCAGAGGCTTTGGCTCGTCAACAGCCTCAACCTCGATCTTCAGACAGCCATCGTGATGGCCAACATCGGCGAAAATAGTCCAAGCACCCTGGCCAGCTCCGGGGCAAGCGACGAAGCCAACGCCGCTGATCTTGAGGTGGCCAGACCCATCAACGGCCCAGCCAGTAAGCGTACCGCCGGGGGGAAGGGTCTGTCCAGGGCGAATGTAGCCCATCTTGCCTTGCTCTATAGAATAAAATTAGGATAAAGGTTACGTAGTTGTTATCAGATGAGGATACTAGAACGCACCGGCAGTAATGGTTTGGGCGTAGACCTGCTGAGGCGCAGACTTGGTCGCATAGAGAGTGAGCTTCCCATCACGCAGTTGGAAGGTGGCGTCATCTTGGGCCCCGAACTGGCAGTGGGCATTCTGGTTCTGCATATTGGTGAAGATCTTGCTCTGGGCCGCGTTGAAAGTCTTGCCGTTGATCTCGCTATTGGCGCTGACGGTCTTCAGCTTGAAAGTAGCGGCAGCGGAGCCGGCAGTGGCAAGAAGAGCGATGCTGACGTTGAACTTCATCGTTGCGGTTGGCGTTGGCTTAAATGAAACGGGTAGTCTAAAGTAAAAAGTGTTGATGATTGTAGTGATTACTGTGATGTTGTTGAGACTGGATTGAAGAGTCCTACATTTCAACTCAGGCGAACCCGAGATACTTATACCATATCCACGACGCTATAGCCAGCTCACCGTGACTTTGTTGTCGGCCGACAATCGTCGAAGATAGCCATTAGGTCTTACAGGTAGCGTCAAGATGTCTGGACAACACGAGTCTGTGCCTACGTTTTCGTTCCTGCGAGGCTCTTTCTGGGTCCAAAATCGAGTATTCAAAAGGCAGGACGAGCGAAGTTCTACTGAATTTGGATGCGCCGAGAAAATACGAAGAGCGTCGATCAATACAGTCCAAGCCTTGCAGGTAACTGGGGTCCCGTCCCCACGGCGCTCATCCAGTTAGCATAAAACCCGGCGCAAATCATGGCAGATCGGCAACCGAAGAGCCTATTCTTCATTCCACATAGCGTAATATGATATCATCCAAGGCTTTAGGCGTGACTAAAATATACTCATCTGCTTAGTAGACTGTCTCGTATTCGATCAGAATTGAGGCGCCCAGCTCTCTAGAAACGAGTTACCATTCTTCCATTAGTCGCTACTTGAAGCGAAAGCTCTGTCGCACCCTGCACCCTGATTTAACGGCACTTTCAAGATAAAACGAAAGCTTACACCAAGTAAGACTAAGGGGCCACAAGATGAGTTGAGGAATGCTTAGAGAAACGAAGGTGCTATGCCCAGGTCATCAGATTATGGCGGGTGGGTCAGGCCTTGATTCTTGCGCGCTCGCAAGATGAGTTGAAGTGAATTCGTGAATTCAAAGCAAGTAGAAAGATATGGAGAGCCTTTTTGGTCGTTTGTTTCTCCTTTGGTACCGATCAGTCGTAACAGCGTCATTCCGTGTTGTGCGGGATATCTCTGCCAACTCCGGTTTAGTCAAGCTGAGAATCGAAGCGCAAACAACCTATCATGAAAAAAATTTAAAAGAAAATTGAGCAATACTTTCAAAACGGTCTCTAAATCTTCACATATCAGGGATAAATCATTTGCTATGGTTGAGGCATCTAGCTGTTACTGCATCAAATGCATCCCTACTAAAGCAATAACGATTCTGGCAGACGGGTTCTGTAGTCTATGGGGCTATAAGAATTGGGCAGGCACGCGTCATACGAGACTGCGGGCAATATGTTCTCAATTTTCATCTCCTGACATAGAATACTCCGCATTCGTATGGCACACGGGCCTGCCCTTGCTCACCGTCTCACAGCTACTAACAAAGGGACCGTGAGTTCAACAGGTATGTCTCTCCCTCCTTTGGCCCACCAAAACTACTGTGTTGGGGGTGAATGGTCACCAGCCCACAGCGTACAAATCGGGGAGACGCTACTTAAGTCGAGGGCCAGGAAATAGATTGGGATCTAGCAGTCATGCTTGACCTAGGGTCTAGCTTCACAGGCTCAGGCGTATTGGATCACACAACTTATTCGATCCATTGGCTTAATTCTGCGTTCAGTCAGGCTCGAAAGCATGGAAAGAATTACCTTGATTTCCAAAGGAGATGAATGATTAGAGGGGGAAAGCGTTGGGTGTTCTCGCTACGAGATCTAGCTACTTTATACAGGCTTTTCCTTATATAACAAGGGGGCCTTGGCTCACCAACTGATCCCAATTAGAATCGACAACTCTTGATTCCAACCAGTGTTACTTCTGTGTCATTGGCGATACTGAGTGCAGGTGGAACCTCCCCAATAGCAAGCTCGTTGAGATCCACACCACCAACACCACCAACCCAAATCCTCGAATATCGCCAGAATTGGTTGTCCACTACCTCACAAACATTTATCACTATAGTTCTTCCCAATAACCAAACGATCCAAATAACAAAATGGCCTCTGTGGGTCGGCAGGAGTGCTGCTAGTGCACATTGCGTCTCAGCTCTCTCGGCTGAGACTTCGGTCTACGAGCAGACAGAATTACTAGGATGGTGATCTCTGCATGCTAGTCCCACGAACCAACCCCAATTGAAATGGATTCTGATGGGCTGAAGCTGGGGAACCCTTAAAAACGGAGAAGCTAGATCAAGCTCATTGACCATTTATTGCTCTTTGCCAATGGCAATCAAGCAGACCAGTCCTGGGCCATCTTAAAGAGAGTGACTTCTCCCTCCGTTTCTGCTTGGTTCGTCCAATTTACGTTCTTGAAGCGTTTGTTAGCTGATTCGCCTCACTTCATCCCAGCTCACATGTGTTATTTTGCCATGGTCAATAAAGAGAGATCTAGCATCGGTCATTGGGGGACAAGAATGCATTCTAGACTCTTCGGCACCAGCCTTTTTCTCAATGCAATACAGTAACACATGCTCGGTTGTATTAATCATCTTAAATGTAAGAGGTCCTACCAAACATAAATACGACTACTCTCTTCTTCGAATTCGGACAGTACGCTTGACACCATCAGTATCGTAGGCTATCTCCATCCCTTTTCCATTCTCGGGAGGCTGGAATGTACCACGAGATCAGGAAAATATTACATAGGCCCGGGGGATTTTGAAAGCATCTCTCAACCCATTTGATAAGGTGTTATTCATTACTATAGCCATCATAACTAAATCTGGCCAAGACCTTAGCACGAAACAAATTGCTTTTTAGGTCCATCCATCCTGCTGTTGCGGCAGGGGTTCTCACACCAGACCTCAAATGCTCAAGCGGCACTATGCAGTAGAAATATGCAACACTACTCATAGGCCGCATCGTTAATTGATGGATCAAATCAAAAGCCCACCGGTTAGTGTGTCATGGCTCTTCCAGGTTTTCCTCGAGAAGCAGTGATGGGATCCTTGCGCGGGGTGGGGAAATAGTTCATGTCATGATGACAATAACCTGGATTCTACTGGCCAGCCACGGCCCTCAATGCCTTCGGGGCTGCAGACGCTGACCGCCTCTTTTCGGGGGCCATTCGAGACTCCGAATCGGCTGGAACCTTAATAGCTCAAATGGCAGAGGATTAATCCATCATGCGATTCATGCCCGAAGAGAATTGGTCCGGCATGGCTGGTGGATCATAGCGTCGTAGCAGAGGTAACATCGGTGCTCCGAGGTGATTGACAAGGGCCAGATTATCACATCAGATAATCAAACCAAGTTATCAATCGGCTCCACTCGGGTCCCTTGATCCTGTCTGCTTCTGTCAAGTCTCACAGCCAGAAATCCACCGGCCCCAAACGAATTCAAGCTTTACCCTGTCGGAGGAATCGGAGGAGAGAAGAGTGAGGCGAGGGCCCTGCAAATGCCTGTGTC